GTAGCGCCCTTCAGCGAAGCGTAAAACAGTTGTGTCGCCGGTCTCCAACAAAGCCCCTCACTGCGCTCGGGTTAGACCCGGGGTAATCGCTCAATCCCATCGACTCTCATTGAGCGGATCAGAGAGCGAGAGACGCCGGGCCGGCCCGTGTGTCTCTCGCTCGGCTCAGCGCGCTCGTCACTGTCAATTCTTCGGCCCCAGATCGGCGGCATTGTGTTGCGTTCGTGTCTGGCCAATTATCCAGATCATTATCCACTGGAGCATCTGTGTCGATCGTCGTCTCACGGCCGACAGACGGTCGAGCAGCGCGGGATCATCGCTGTCGATGGAGGCCGTCGTTTTCGACTTGTCGCTTGTCGTTGTCGACGCAGAATCTGTCTGTTCGTAGGCTGAGCTGACTGGCGGAGAGAGAATGAGATGGTTGACGGGCAAATGACATCGACAAACGGCTGGGACAGCTTGGTTTGGACAGAGTTGCGACAGCTTTGATTGATGATATGAGCTGCAGTTTCACGCAGGCAGATGTTTGTACCCGAGGAAGGGATAGAGAACAGAGCTTTACCCAGATGAGTTCGCAGAGTCCACGGAAGACGGCGGCCAGCTAAAATATTGGCTATAATGTTTTGGTGACCAGAGTTCAATGGGTCCTAAGATAACTATTTACCGAAGTTGGGTTTGTATTTTTGTCTTAGCATTCTCAAAGTGTCCCTACCTCGTTTGAGTCATGCAGCATTTGTAACTGTTACTGTCTAAGTCATACTTTTTTATTTAACATATTGAAAGGGCATGTCTCAGCATCCAAAAAGGTAAAGGATCTTGAAGTATTTCAGTAACACAAACTGCCTCCGTGCATCCACCGTCATCGATCTACTCCTGTCCATCTTCGGACCGCCTCTCCAACAGACCCCCCCCCCCCCCGGTCCCACGGCGGTGACTGTTGGCGCACCGCGACCACCGACAGCCCTCGTCCCCACTCGTCTGATTGCTCAAAGGACGCGCCGGCCAAGAGAGGATGACAACACAGATTCGGATGTTGTTGCGGCGCCACAATCGATCTTGGTTGCCATGGCAACCGCTGCGTCACCGGGGGCGGAGACGTAGAGCAAGGGGTGGCGTGCTCCGTGGCGACACCTCGCTTAGAAATCGCATGGCTGATGGTTGGCGACTGGCGTGAGTTATTTTTAACGCCATCGCTTGATAGCCGATGCTTGGCATGTGCTTCGCATACTTTGTCGATTCGATTAGGCATGTCATCGCCTACATTTGTGTTCCGGGGAGACTTATCAGTGCAGCGACCAGTACTATTTGCCGCCTCCGCTAGGTATATGTTTTAGCTGTCCCCTTCCCCGTCTCCGCCCCCGCCTTTGACGCACTACGCCTACTCACCTAACCCGTGGCAAGGACCTCAGCCACTAGCCAGCGTTTATTAGTGGGAGCGAACTAATCGGAGGATATATTCCTCCCATTTCCGATGCCGAGCTACTCCCTGAAACGGTCATATCACCGGGTCCAGTTTCGAGGGCTGTTCCGCCGCTAATAGCTGCAATTATGGCCCTGAAGGAACACCATCCATGGTGGCCGGAAGACCGACTCGTCTCCATGTAATGTGGCGTGGCGCTAGTGGTGACAGAGAGGATGTTAGCTGGCCGGGAGATGACGGTAATTACCACAAATTACGTAGAAGTGTGAGGAAGATGTAGAAAGCGACACACGAATTTCACGATGGCGGTAGAGATTCCGTGAAATGTGAATGCTTTTGAGTTGGCGTAAGTAATTCTTTTGTTTACAACATATTTTCGTTTTTACTCTCGTTATCTTCTGTTACGAAATGTGATTCTATTAAATTTATTTTCTTGTCGCAAGCATCCATTCGCATTACCTGTATTGGGAGATAACGGGGAGGATGGGGGGGGGGGGGGTAAGCGACACATTGCGACACATAAGCGACATATTGATCAGGAACATTCACTATACAGATTTTGAGTCTTAGCCCATACAACTATAAACGGGCCTGTGTATTCACCAGCCGTGAAATGCAGTGCCTGCCTCACCCACCACTTTCCAATGCAAACAGGCACGCCTGACTGCAGGCGAGTGGCAGTCAGACTGTCGGATAACACCCGATAAAAACACGCATCCACTGAGCCAATAGCGGCAGCGCACAAAGAACTTCATTAAATCGGCTTTGAAAGGTGGTGTCACTCTCACTGGTCGGTTTTAATTGGCCGAACGTTGTCCCACGTGTCGGCACGTGCCGATGCCACGTGCCCGCTGGCTGGCTCAATGGCACGCGCGATGATAAACACGGGGTGGCGACGGGCGCGCCTCGTCGATGACGGCGCGGCGGCTTTAAAAAGGCGCGCGGCGGGCCGGGCGACATGGCTCTCCCCGGGAGGTGACGCCACGCCGCCGGCGACGCGCACAGATAATGGCGACGAATTGTCGGGGCGCTGTCGGCGAATTGTTGTCAAAGTGAACGGACCTTGCGGCGCGCCGGTTCCGACACGCCGGTTCTGACGGCTCGACGTCTCGCGGAAAGGCTGCTGGGAGTGGGTGCGACACAGGCAGGGACGAAATCTTGAAAGCGGATGACTGGGTGTGAAGTTCTAGCACGGAAAAACTGATGACTGGTTTCACTGCCAATAGGTTTATATTTGTATTGTGTTGGATAACGTTCCTCCATTGCCTTCTTCATGTATTCTTCTTCTATACCTACTTAGTTTAGTTGATAAGAAACATTTTGCCTTCGACAATTGCATCCTATTTTACAACTACTTGCTCTGGTCGATGCCGTGGCCAGCTGAATCTTCTAGCACTTTCTGGCCAGCTGAACCTTCTAGCACTTTCTCGCCTTACGGCGAATGCTCGACCCTTTACGCCGACCTGGCTGGCTCCGGACGTGATTTACCACCTGACCATCGACACGCACCTCGGTCCGACGGTGGACCTGCGCGGATCGGTCGGCCGTCGGCGCGCCCACACGCTCCGTTTCGGGTCCGGCTGGGTCGTGACACGGCTGAGTGCCCCACTGCCGAACAATTGCCGGGCGGACGCCGGAGGCCGTTTCACGCCGTTCGACACCGCCGGCCGCGACGCCCGGCTCGGATGACGACCTCGTTTGGATTCCTTCCGTCCGACGGGTATCGTGACCTCAGCGGAATGTCGATGCGTTTCAGACACGTCTGGTGGTGTTGGACCGACACGACCTAACCCGAGTCGAGTGGCCGTTAAAGGGAGGGCGGGGCGGACGAGTAGTTTTGACGGAGCGGCAGTCGGCGCCGACCGGGGTTACTTGAACTGGCAGTGGGGTAATAAGTGTCACAGCTGAGCTGATCTACTCGAATAAGTCACGAATGGTGTGCAGACTCGGTGTGAAATTTCAGCTGATGTTGGTAATTTATTCCGTTTTTATTTTCCACCTACCTTCAGACTAAGCGGCATGCAATCAAAATTATGTCAATGTTTCACTTGAATCTGGAGTTTTAGAGGTTTATGTGCGTACTTTGTACTTTAACTATGTTCCAAGATCTGTAAAGTTAATATTTTTCCTGGAACACTACAAATATCCTCACCTACAAAATAAACATGCCCGCGGGTCACGATTGCCACCTCCCTCACTATTGAAGCAACACATACCACAACTGCAGAATTTTATTCCACCATTTCGTCCTATACATTTTATCAATATCATTGTTGCATATATCGACACCATAATAAAAGAATCGAATGAAAAGCTGGTCGGTCTGGCAGCAACAGTTGCAGCGGCGCCGGCGAGTGCAGACGCCGGTCGTTGCCGCGCTCCCGCCGGAAGTCGAGCGCCGGCCGCGCGCTTCCTGCGGCCATTTCCCGCGCTTTCCAGGGGCTATGGCGCGCCGCGGCCGGCCGGAAAGACGTTCACGATTATATCGATTGTTGGCCTAACGGGCCGCCATGGGGCGACGCCGACAGACATTGGCTATCGATTCAGACGTGGGTTGGCACGTTTACAGCACGGGGTAATACTGTTATAAACGGTGCTTGGATTGGCTGGTGGAATATATAGTTCATCGTAAATGCTGTGCAGAAAGTTTTAATCAATATTTGAAATAGCACCGCTGTTTATTACAGTTTTTAAGGGGTGATACTTTTACCATATTTTGTTATGGAGGAGGCTTATTTCATCATACAAAAAATAGGCGTTATCTGTAGTGAAATTATATTTAACACCTATGTATTGTCTATGTTTAACACATCAGAAACTGTCGACATGGACATGAAGCTGTTTTCCATCAAATTTGAAGAAGTTTTCTTCTCGACTGGCGAAGGCGGTTATTTAGATTGATCGGTTCTATATATGCATCCTCGCATTTCTCGGAGCCTGCAGGCTTCTTGACCGTGACCGATTCTGGCGTAGCCGAAAATCGCACGCCGTATCCATCAAACCAACTGCTTCGAGGTGCACTCATCCACGGCCGTAGAGCCATCATTCGTCCTCGGTTTGGCGGTGGATGAGGCGACTGGTAAACGGCAGTGAGGCGGAGGTCCGGACAACTGCTGTTCAGACTCACTCCCAGCCTTCCATCACATAAACAACCGAGTTCGTCGAGCGGCGGTGCTGCTGAACCACCTCAAACGAGGAAAAACTCGGCGGCGGCGCTGGCGAGATTCATCATCGGCAAATTGTGTGTCATATTTTCCACCGCCATTACTTAAAGAAAAGTCGTTCTTGTCGGTATCCGGTCGGCTTTCCGGAGTGCTGTCAGCCAACCGGAATTCGTGATTTCCTCTCTGGCGGCGGTGCCGGCCGCTGATTGGCCGGCGCGACCAGGCCCCGCCCCGCTGATCGATGCCGACGATGAGTGATGCGGCCGACGCGTCGGTGCGACGGCCGCGGCGGCGGCGGCTCGCCAGTGGCACCCCAGGCGAGCGGACGGGTTTGAGCCTACGCACCGCGCTGGAGCAGGGCTGGAGCAGGCGAGAATAGCCGCTGAGGCGCTGAAGACTGGCGACTGACGACTGCGGAACGTGAAGAGCTCGAGAAGTTTGCGGGGAAGAACCGAGCCGCTGTGAAGAGCAGCCATGCTGGATCTGAAGAGTCCGCCGACTCCGCTGGCTGGGGACTACCTGCCGCGCGGCACTCCGCTCACCAACCTGTCCATGCTGTTCTCAGGTCAGTAGTGTGTGCCGGGGTGGCCAGAGGTCATCACACAATGGTCCGTCAGGGTGTCAACCGTCGGCAGGGGTTGAGGGTGGCGGCGCAGAGTTGGTTGAATTTTAATTTTGTCTGTTTGATAGGCTTACAGGCAATTGCTTCGCTGGTTCGCTGGTTCGTTCGCTGTTGATGTCCGTGACATGGCACTTCGCATTTTCTGGTTGTACAGTGGATCTAGTAAGGATCTCCAGACGCAAGTAGATGGCGTTGAGCCTCAGTCGAGTCCATGTGAGACTCAAGGAGAGGTCACTACCGAGCTGGGCCCGATGGGGCGGGGGGGGGGGGGTGGCGAGGTCACGGTGCGGGTGACCTGTCAAACAGCCCCGGCGCGGTGGGGCACTGCCGCAGGCAAATGGCGCACACCAGCGTTGTTCCATATCGAGGTGGTGGGCCGAGCGGCCGGTTAGCTTCGCAGTTGGCTGCTTGGAAGGAAAGGATAATGAGGCATGGGTTTGCTGTGGCCGGCTCATCTACTGTCAACTATGGTGAACCCAAAGTAATGCAAATGTGATGTTGGTAATGCAGCTAGCAATGGAATGCTAGCGAATGCTCCGGGAGCCCAGCAGCTATAAGGATTAAGATTATTTGTGTCTCCTGAAATTTTCATTGAATATAATTGAAGCAATAGAAAGATCGTATCGGTCGCCAGTTTTTTGACCGGCTGGCGTTTCATGCGTAGAGCGCCCTTCGGCAAATAATTATCACGCAGGTGATTTTTTTTGCTGGTAAGATGGGCTTTTAAGGTCAAATCAAGTCGCTAAGAGAAGATTAGGAAAAGTGGACGAATGCCAGATTTTTGTGCATGAAGTCTGGAGTTTCAAAAAGCTAAAAGTTATTATACGTGTAAGCTAAAAAACAATAAGATCAGTTAATAAAAATATTTAACCCGAAATTAGCCTCTGTTTTGTCTGACTGCATGGTTGCGTGATGTAAGACACCGGTCCAACCGGGTTCAACCCGGCCCAACCAGGTTCGGCTTGCCTTTTTTTAACATAAATTTGGCCCGAACCTTTTGAAAGAAAGGAATCACAAGGACAAAGTCCCCGCTAAGCTGAGCTTGTTCCGTTGACCCTACTCTCTACCCTCCGATCAAGCAATTCCTGGTCTATGGCAGAATTTAGAGTCCAAATTTTAACGTGCGCACATAGCCGCGCACGGCCGGTCCCCTCACTGACTTCGCCTGGCAGCGGCCTGCAACCAACCACAACCATGCCCGTCAGGAGGCTCAAAAACGTCAAGCACACGTCACGTTTCGAACCCGGACTTTTGCAACCGGGACGTGCGCTCTCACCACATGGCACATGGAGTCCAACGCTCTACCGACCGAGCTACCGGAACGGACATTTACCTTGGGGTTTCGCCTCGTGACATTGACAGACGTCAGACACTTTGGCCGAACTTTAGCCGAAACACTGAGCAAGCTGCGCAGGGCGATAGGTGCTCGTAGCGTTGAGGCTGGGTAACCTGTGAGCTGAATGCGATGTCGTGAGTTCGAGCCCCACTGCCGGGTCTGGTTTTATCTAGACACGAACCAGAACCTTTCCGGCTTCTACTGCAACTTCGATAAGCACGATGACATCTTTCCCCAATATCCTTTCCAAAAGTCAAAATTATCGCTTATAAATGTTTAGCTAAGATTCATTTTTTTAAGAAAATATTTTTGGTCATTTGTCTGGAGCCATTTCAACTCTTTTTTCTTTTCTGCTTCTTATCGACCCGATAAACCCCACCAAAACTGAACGTGCCAAATGAAAAATATCTAACTCAAACAACAGTTAAGAAAAGCCTCATCATGCATCATGAAAAGCATCATGCAACTATCGACTGAATAGTTGCATGCTATGAATACGTCCTAGATTTCAATTATCATTGTTCAACATTTTGGCTGGAACTGACGCTGCCTCTGGCTTGCCCGTTTGTTTGAGATAATGATTCCCTTCAGTCGCATTCTTGCCGGTTCCACATGAACAGGATACCACCATACCGGGGTGAACGCACCCGCAACCATCATCCCCTCCCCTCAGCCTCGGCGCAGTGGCGGGCGGCCCTGGGCGGCCCACTCCCGGCGCTACGCACGCCCGATGCGCTGTGATACCGCGTCACTCCCCCTCTCTCCTTTCCCCACAATGACCGGTGACCTCACTTCCCTCGGGATTTGGACTCGCCCTACCCCGACCGTAGCGCCACGTGGTGGCTCTGGAGATCTTAAATAGACCCACTGTACAGACTACTGGAGGACTGAGCAGATATTTTCTTCACTCTCTGCATCAGTTACAAGCGTTGAAACCTCGATGCATAATTTTCAGTGTCTTGTGATGTTTTAGTGGAAATTAATTCACCCGCAAAGGGCTCTAAGCTCTGTGTTTGTTCTCCAACACATTCACAAATATACAGCTACAAACTGATAATTATTATCCATCTGGAATGTCCATTTTCACTGAGGTTATTCGCTTAGCCATAAGACCGTCTTATGTAAAGCATCAAGCCAACGTAGCAACATTCATCGCCATTTCTAGCTACGTGCAAAACTCGCTGTTTGATTAACATTTCTTCCAACATCTGTTTACCGGGGCAGAGATCACAAACCTAGATTTTTTATTCGAGGTTTTGCAATGCAGCCGACGTCCGACGGGCGTCTTACGAAAATTTATGACGTGTGTTCTAGAGCCATAAGGCGTCACTGCGAATGACACGCAATGTTTGAACTCGCTCAATCGTTTCACTGCAAATGTCCAGCGAGCATTGATATGCATACGTGCAAAGAATAATTGTGGGTGCTACTGTTTCTGTTTTGCTCTGTTAGTGATGCTAGCGAGCGCCATACGAGCTGTAGCTCATGTACTACTAACACTACTGATATGGAATGCCTTTTCTCGCCTTCTTGATTGATTAAATTCATGTCACCTGTTGTATGTATTTACGTGTAATTCCTAAACTTGTCTCAACTCTCGTTGAATCAAAGTAAATCATCTTTGTTCAAAGGAAACCTATATTAATACATGTTGGTCATGATGTTGTATGCACATTGCAGCCCCATTCTGAGGCTGCCTGATGCATGCCATTTCTTGTTAATTGCCAAATTTGATTAACTATGTTCCGTTGTAGGCTTTTGCTGCCTTGTGCTCTATTCTTCTTTACCATTTTATATTGTCATCATCATAATCTTCAACTGGTGAGTTCAGCAGGAACGAGACTCGTTTTCAACATCATGCTTGTCAACCTTATCAACTTATAGTTCCCGTCCTTAGGAAGGCAAACGTCACGTGCGCAGTGTGCAGTGTAGACCATGCAGGATCTGTAGTTGTTTATGGTAAGCTATGGATACCCTGAGCTATGGTATGACATGACACTCAGATGCCGTATAACATGTTAACTCAAACATACAACGTGTTGTAAGTTAATAATTGAAATTACAATCGTGTTTGAGACAGAATAAAAAGGGAGCTGCTAAGACCCTCGAATTCATAACGCTGCCGCTAGATGTCACTAGTAGGAACGCCTGCGATGATGCTGTGCCGCATGGCCTTAAGCCCGGCTGCAGGCGTCCTACATATACCGAACCAAGGCGCAAGACATGACCATTTGTCATCGGAGAGCGAATTTACAAATGCTGTTGCCAAGTCTTAAGGCTTACTCATGAAGTTGACATTAATTGTTTTTCCTTTATTTTTTTAGTTTTCCCAACATCAATGCGGTAAAATACCAAAAATAAGTTACTTGTTATAAGTATCTATAGTAAGGAGGACGATAATTATATGTAAAGCAGCGTCATATCGATTCGCGCTCGAAGCTTAACTTAAACAAAGGATGCATTTCTGATATTTATAGGTTTTGTTTACTTATAAATTTTCGACAAGAACAAATAAATTACAGTCACCCGTCGTTAACGTAATTCAAAAATTAACCTTCCTCCACCCGTCCTTCTTACGTTAACATTTTCGTGAGCCATCCTAAATATATGAAATATATCATACCATAATGTTTCTAGCTTCTAAAAGCTTGACTGCTACAGTACAAGCTCATAAAAAGTAGTCCTAGTTTCACAACCGCAAACTGCCTGGCCTCTAGAACTCTCAACATTTGACAAACTGCCATCGGCTCCGGCCACTCGGCAGGCCAGCGGTCGGGCTAGGCCAGCGGTGGCATTATAAAATCCCAGCCAGTCATGTGTAGCGCCCTTCCTCCCCTGGCCCAGCGAGGTCCAACGGAGCGAACCCTGTCAGAGTCTAGAGTCACGCTCATTTGTTGCTGGACCACTGGTTTTTCAAGGATGGTCGACGCTAAAACCCGAACACAAACCCTTCTGAAATTAACATATGAAAACGTTCGTTATGGTTTAGTGCTTGAATGTCATTAGTGTAAGATGTCGAAGAGAGGAGTAAAAACTACGATGAACACACGAATACGACTGTGATATTTAAACTGCACTCTGGTAATCAAATAATTACTGTTTGCATTCCATGTCATAACGTTTTTCGTACCTAATACCTATGCTTCGTAAAAAGTTTCCAGTTCTTCTTTAGTAAGTCTTTTTATAATCTTTATAAACCCTTTACAATTAATGCCATCCGTATAGTTAGCTATTCTGCGAGTCAAAAGATGTTGTCATGCAAGTACTTGTGCATCGTGCACCGCATATTTCCGAATCGAGGAATATGGACGTTGGTATGGTAATACGTTTAGTACAAATTTCACTCACATCACTACCAATTTTGTGTTTCTTTCATTTCAGATCCTGCTTACAAGGCGGCATGGGGAGCTCACACTTCTCAAGCACAAGGTGAGTGGCTCCCTTCTCAGTTCGCTTCGCGCGACCATCCCGCATGCACTCGTCTTGTTTCTCACGCGGAAAACTTTATTGAACTTCCGACTATGTTGTTCGATGAATTTAAGCACCGTCATTAATATTTCATCGGATTGACTCACTGTTTTGAACGACTCGCTTTATTGAGAGGAGCTTCTAAAAGAGTCCGATCGAGTGTTACACCTCACCAACTGACAAAGTTGTGAAGCACCCTCGGCCGGCCCTCGGCGAGTCTCCGTCTGGAGGCGGTGCAATCACGCCGTGTCCGAGTTAACCTCATCTCCCCAACACCGTTCGGCAATCAGTGGCCGCTCTGCCGCCGCGCGCCGGAACCGGCCGCAAAAATCAATAGCGCCGCCGGCTCTCTGACCAAACACGGCTCTGCGGCTCTGCCGGGAGGCGCCTGTCCGCGACCCGTCACCTCCCCGGGTGTCTCTGCGAGCCCGCTGCCGCTGCCGTCCCTCTAGTGTCCCCGCTACTGCCGCGACAGCTCTGACTCCGCTCACCATCGAACCGACTCGAGTGCCGTTGAATTTCATCAATGGATGTATCGGGAGCGTCGATTTCAATATCTCTCCATCGGCCGACAGCCGGTCGGCGTCGCGACGCGCTGGGCCGTGCGCGACTCCTGTTTGCCAGAGCAGCGGGCCGCGAAATCCGACAAGAAAAGTCTTTCGCGGTGCGCCGGCGCGAACGGTGAACAAACGTTGGCCGCCGATGCTGGGAGAGCGATTGACTGGTGGCGGGCAGAGCGAGGAGTGGGTAGAGGGGCGGGGTGCCGCTGGCGTGACACTGTTGAGCTGTCAAAGCGGCGAGACTGGTGAGGGCGTGTTGAAAACGACGCCAAGACGAGGAGAAACTTAAAAGGGTTCTTTCCGTGTCAGCTAAACCTTTTGCGTTAGTTTTACAGTAATAATTATGGCTAAATATAAAAACACATTTGATGAAAATTGTTAAAAGCATTGAAGCTGAATAAAACGTAACCATAAATGACTAGGTGATGAGTATGAATGCCATTTTCTTGTGCAGGGTTGTTACAAAGCAGCGCCTCTCCGCCATTTTCTTATGTTCATTTTCAAAGCCTGGCGACACTAGACAGAAATCTCCGCTCCCTCACATCTATCAGCCTACCGCAACATCTCTGCTCCCCACGCGTCCGCTCGCCCGCGACTGTTACAGCAGTGGCGCGGGGATGACGCGCTCCCGGGTCGACATTCATTAGCATCAGACGGGCCATTTGTAGCCGAGGAACCGCTGACGACCTGGGCGGGACCGCTGTCTGTGGGGGGCGGCTACGCGACATGGGCACAGACGGGGGTGACTTGAGGGACTGATGGGGACTGACCGAGTGAAGGATCCGCTGCCACTGCTGTTATTCAGGGCTGGGCTTGTAAAGTTATACTCACCCTCCATGAAAGAGATGGGTGCTGAATTTATGGGTTTTCTTTTTATGATGATACGTTTTGTTTGAGCTTTCAGCAGACGTATCTGTTGAATAAGAGAATAGCGACGTAAAATCTTAAGCTGGGCCGCTGAGTACTGTGAAAATTCCGACATCTGGCAATAACTTCCACCATCCAAACCCTTCTGCGCGTGTTAGCTGTTGAAGTTGAATGGTGTAACTCATATTTTGAGCCCGATATCGCTCCGACATAAACTTTGCGTACATCTTTGACTCGAAGCAGTCAACCACTGAAACCTCCACCGAAACTACCACTCGACTGTCGAAAGATGGACTCGACTGCCAAAAGACTCCGTCATTCCTCTTGCTCTCTGTTTCTATGCCTCCTGGAGAGCTGCGGCCGGCGGCTGTCCTGATTGCCTGGATGCCGGTAATGCTGTTGATGTTGCTCGTTACCATTCCTACCGCCACTGCCGCCACCGCCGCCACCGCCACCGCCGTCGCCGCCACCGCCGCCACCACTCTGGCGCGCCTCGCTAGCATCGTTAGCACACATTATCGGCGCTGAATGGGATCGCCGCCAGTTACTTTCAATTCTTCCTCTCTGCTCGCCTCCCCCGGCGGCTCTTGTTAGTCGTAATTCATGTGTGAATCGCTTTGATGGCTACATATACCCAATTTACGGTGGATGAGCATTGTTGGCGGACGGGAAGGGTCCGCCGCCGCCGCCGCCGCCGCCCCCGGCCAGATTAAACAAATTGAATCTGGGCATAACGAGTCGATTCATTTGGCCACTGTCAGCGTTCAAAGGCTCGCCGACAGAGACTGACCCGGATGTATTGTGTGGCTTGATCCAGTTATCTTGCAAACAGCCAACTACAGACGTTTGGTCCCCCAGCTTGCGACAAGTGATATGAAGAAGGCTATTCATGCGATGGAAATGGTCAAAGTGGATATGTGCTGGCGTTTTCACGGTTTGTTATGGTTTGAGTAGACTTTTATTAGGTCTTTTGGGGTTGCTAAAAAGATGTTTGAAATTCACCGAACGACAAGCTAAGGCGATTGTTTTTTTTTCTAAAAAAAAGAAATGTCGGTAAAAAGCAAAAACTGAAGACCTTTTTTCGGTCATTTCAAAGTTCTATAAGACACAAAAATGGCGACTGATAACACTTCATCGTGTTTCAGACGGTGGTTTCGAGACGAGTTCAGCAACAGCTGACGTGATTTATCTACTCTTGTCCATTTATCGCGCTAATTCCCTCCAGTATAGACCCACCTACACAGGACCGCCACCTCTCCCAGGTTAGGGGTGAAATTCGGCCGACTATCATTTCCCAGGTCACACCGAGCTTTCTGCTGTCGGCAGCTCACTCTGACACCGCCACCCCGCTCAGACAGAATGGATGACGATGAATCACGACAGCATACAGACCAACAAAGACGGAACGCCCCGCCAAACGAGGTCCTGACATGGGACATGGTGTCTGGTACACCATACGACCTCACCGTCCATACGGGGAATTCTTGTGAAAACGGTTAACTAGAATCGAGCCTTGTGATTTGGCAGACTGAAACATATTTGTCATCATTTTCTACTGCAAAAAAAGTCTGCTCAGCAACTTAAATTGGATGTTCTATGGCCGTTCTGCAGCACATTTATCAAACTTACCTCTACCTTTAGTTGCGTGCAATGCAAAAGTTTGCTGAGGATTGCGGAAGACAATGTTTGTTTTGCAACCAGCTATTGAGATTGAGGAAAAGTCAATGTTTTTTTTTTGTTTTTTTTTTTAAACAATAACATGTAATATGTGCGCCTTTATCTACTACGTTAAACACCTGTGATTTAAAAAGTTCACAAATGTGCTTCACTAAACTTTTTTTAACCCACGAGCCGCTGGGGGGGGGGGCATAAAGTTGCCCCCCCCCTTTACGTTTTGTGGAATATCTCCGAAACGCGATGAGCTACGAACGTGAAACTTGGCATAGCTTCAAATGAATACCTAGGCAATGTTTGAAGAAATTTTGGTGGTTGTAGCACCTAAGATGACGTCACAGTGACGTCATAAAGTTTTGTCGTTTTCCGATATGGACCGTTTCTGATGACGCTGAGCATGAAACTCATTTGTAAATGAACTAGACAGCATCTGCTGTCATCCTAAAACATCTAAGTACACTTCCATCTAGTTCCTAGCCAATAATCGGCCCTTTATATTCGGTCCCATATATCTGATGTATCGTGAGGAAACTGAGAGTCGCAAATCTATAATTTGACTTATGACGTCACTGTGACGTCATTTCAAATGGGATCGACACCAAATTCGGACACAACCTCCGCTAGGTATTCAGAAAGATGTGTGCAAAGTTTCGCTTCTCTATCCCTTCGCGTTGCGACGATATCGTCGCGGAAGTAAAGGGGGGGCAACTATATGCCCCCCCCCCCCAGCGGCCGGCGGGTGGCGCGGAGGCCCAGCGGCCGCCGGGTTAAATACCTGAAAATCTAAAAACTTTCTACGTCAAATTGTTTGAGATAGGTATGCCTAGCTTGCCCGTTCTTTTGGCGATTCCTTCAAAGTGGTTTCTGCTGCGAATTCAGTGCTCGCCTGGCCATCGTGGCCCCTGCTGGTTCGTCGATCGATTCGACGCGAAATCCTGGCTGTGAACACCCCGTGCAAGCTGCATGACTGATTTATAAACCGGTGTGGTTACCTTGCCTAAAGCGACGAAAGGCCAACACTTGACTGCCCATTGGATCCGTGCAGCGTACGTCGCTGTAAAATGGCCGATAAGGACAGACGTTTGGCTTTGTATATCTACCCTAATGGCCGACCTAGGGCTATGTTGGAACGTTCCTGGCAGCGATATGAACCCGCATGGCGATTTGTGCTGAAATGGCACGGTTACAGCTGGATTTATTTCGGGTTATAGCGGATACTTTCTGTCGTTATTATTCGTAAACCGCACAATTTCGATGGTCAGCATGGACTACCTGAAGATATTTACGTTGAGGGTAAACGTTGTCAATGGTGAACGCTGTACTTTCGACGTCATTTGAGATCGCTTTCTTGGCGTACTACGGCGGTAATGAGGCGCCCACTTCGCTGTTATCGCATGAAATTGTAGCAGCAATGTGACGATTTTCAGCAGCAGTGTGCGTTACAGTCCGTACCCGATGAGGTACTGAACATACAATTACACACCTTTGGAATGATCAGTGTTTGATAACGTGTTGCATTGAGAACAAAGGAAAGAATGTTGTGCGGCATTCCGCATAGAAATACTTTTAGTTTTGGTCTGATATGGGATTCCTTGACGCCGTGCTTTCAAAATCTGAAAAGCAAAAGTGGAGATTGCTTGACCTACCAGCCTCCTAACAAAATAAATTGAAGCCCAAATACCACCGTATTTTTGCTCTCCAACTTTGTTTGATGTTCCGCCCGGCGCCCTCACATTAATTGATTTGTTGTTCTGTTTCAGCGTATTCACACAACAGTCTCTCGAGCGTGGCAAAGTCGTCATTGGAGGCGGGCCATGCACATCTCAGGCAACCAGGTGAGGAAACAATAAAACTGACGGGAGCTCGCGATGAGAAAGGAGGGAGGGGGGATAAAATGCAGTTCTTGCAGTGTTATTGACGTTCTTAGTGTGTCGATCCAAACCAGACTCCTATGACCTTCGCTATTTTAGGCATGGGGAGGATGCAGAGAACAACATTAACTTACTTGATAACCGTTCTTCGTGTAACCTTACCAATCACACTGAGCCTTCTGGCCAGTCTCTTACACCGACCAGCCTCCCTAACCAGCCCCCCACCCCACCCCACCAGCAACCCCCCCACCCTCCGCACGTCTCTTTCCGCCGCGCTGCGCTGCGATCTCGGCTCGGCTCCTGATTGGTGTCCAGTGCCGCCCTCCGTCCAGTGTCCACCCCCGTCATCAGCGGTGGCCGATCGGTCCCACCGCCACAGAGTGGGAGGTAATGGACGCCCACTATGGCGCTCCGCTCGGCTGAAAGGCCGGCATGCCACGCCAGAGGAGCGGCTCACCCCGTCAGAGAACCGGCATTCCCTACCATGGCAGGAGAGGGTAGCTTTAGACAGCTTGTTGGCCAAAACTGGGAGGTTGAAGAGGCGAAATTTTGTTGTGATTTACAGTTTTACGTAAGTTTGATAATCGGCCTGATTTTCGACCTTTGAAAAGTATTGACAAAAGCATGATACAATGAAGATTATTCGTGCCTGCAGATAAATTTTTTATTATAATTGAAAAGTGGCAATGAAATCAGAGCAGTTGTTGAGGATGCTGTCAATTAACCAGCTGACCTGACCGACAGTCGTCCCGGCGTGGTCCTCGCGGTCGACTGGCCGGTCCAATCGATGGTTCGTGCCGCCGTCCTCTCCGTGACTGGGTCGGTTCCCATAACGAGCCCACGCCGTCTGACCGGTCACTCGATAGCCCGCTAACAGTCGCCAAAAATGGACACCGACGCGCCGCGTATATGACCTAGGGCCTTGGGGCGGGCCGGGAAAAGGCCGGGTTATGGTGAATAGCTGCGCGTAATATAAAGGACAGTGCAGCAAAAGGCGATTGCCATGGCATGGATGGTAGGGATTTTCGCTTGACCTTCGCATAGCTAAATTAAGCGCGTTTTTTTTTGGGGGGGGGGCCTGCATATTGAACAATTATTAGTTAGACAGAACGCCAGCTTTCAGTTATAATTCATCAATTGTTGAGACTTAGGGTAGGCATTGTGCACATTCGTTGCACATTATCAACAAACACTTAACCCTCGCCGGCCGAGGGGGGGGGCGGGTGCCGCCCCCCCCCCCATAGGGTTTTTTCGCGATAGCTCCAAACACGCTGGCGATAGAGAGCTGAAACTTGGCATACCTGACCTTTGATCCAAGCCGCATCTTTTGACACCAACCGCATTTTTGGGTCAGGTCAGGTCACTGACCTATGACGTCATAAGTGAACCTCTGCACGGTCTTCAAATGTCGCAACTTCGCAACGCCCTCACTGCCAGAGGAGATGTCACAGGGAAATGAAACTTGCAGAATCTAGTATCCATTATGAGTCCCACAACTTGTATATCTCGGATTTTTCTTAAAGGTCATATGAGGTCAGGTCATTTTAGTGACCTCACCATTATAAGTCAATGGGGAAAAATGAAAACTGCTATTCTGGCGCCGGGAACGATCTCCAACTATCTCAAGCACACAGAATCGTGATCTTATGCACTCCTTGCAAGGTTAGATGCGTCACTTTTGCAATGTTGACCTTGCGTGACGTCATTTATGACGTCATCAAGGTCATATTAGTTTTTCGTCAATAACTCTTGATCAAATTGAGCTAGCGAGTCGGAAAAGCCACCAATGGACTCAGGAAGACCTGCCGAATCGAATGATATGCGACATGACCTCTTTCGACCAACTTCGTGACCTGGGGGTGCTGACCTGACCTTGACCTGAGGTCAACACCCCAAGTTGACCTGACCCGGACAAAAAGTATATTATTCAACGCGCCTGAGCGAGACGAACACGATGCTGCCAAAATCGGCGCTCTGCGGCCGTTTTTTGCGAAGTTATTCACCAAAAACTGAACCGTACCTTGGGGCACTTGACCTGACCTCAGAGGTCACCGGTTGACCTAGGACCTTAAAATCGGGTACCAATCTCTGCGTCTCGTAACGGCGCACACGCTCGTTTTTTCCGCGACGCGCTAGCTCCACCAGGGGCGAAACGGCGAGGGGGGGTCGTACCCGCCCCCCCCCCCCCTCGGCCGGCGCGTATGTAGAAAACCAATAGGTCCGGCGAGGGTTAAGACACTACCAGCTTCATGCGTAGATACTCGCCACCTGCGCCGCATGTCCCTCATCATACGCTGATTCAACATCAAAGTCGAAGACTCGAGGTGTCGTTCGGAGCCGGGCCCCGTCCGTCGCCAACCCCTCTCCCTCACTCTGCCTTCTCTCGTTGGCTCTGCTCTCTCCCGGCTAATGGAGCCAAACAGAGACCGGCTGCCTTTCAGACGGGCGGTGGCGGCGGAATGGTGTTGAGCGGGGTATTAGCCACGCGTCAGCGCGCCGCCCTTACTGCCGCCCCCGCCCCCGCCCTCGCTGCCGTCTGCGGCCATTACTGGGCTAGACGGGTGACGAACGGAGTAGAAGGGAGTTGACGGCTGTGTGTAGACGGGGACGACTGGAGAGGGATAGGCGGTTAACGATGGATTGAAGATGGACGGTGGCTTACTGGTGGATCATGTAAGAATGATATCTACACACGGTTGCGTTTGACGGTTAACGTGTAAGACTAAGAGCTACGGACACGGCAAAACTATGATAGAAGCGAATGACCCTTGATAGGTAGACTGTCAACAGTAAACAGAGGACGACAAACGATAACGAGGGACTTACAGGGTGAAAATAAGACAGTCAGCTCCTCATATGCTCACCCTCACACCTGCCAGCTAATCTACCTGTTACATTGTTCCACACATCCGTCAGTCCCGTATAATACTTCCCACCACTCGCCCCGTCCGTAAGACCCGTACAATACTCATACTAACCCCACCCGCTCCCTACTCTCGTCAGACCCGTACCAGATGTTCGGGGCGACCAGCAGTCGGCTGGCCAGCTCGGGAACCGGTCAGATTCAGCTGTGGCAGTTCCTGCTGGAGCTGCTGTCAGACAGCGCCAATGCCGGCATCATCACCTGGGAGGGCACCAACGGCGAGTTCAAGCTGTCCGATCCTGATGAGGTGGCCAGGAAGTGGGGAGAGCGGAAGAGCAAGCCGAATATGAACTACGACAAGCTCAGCCGCGCGCTCAGGTAAAGAATGGATGTGGAGTGAGGGTCCTCAGAGGCGGATTGAGGAACTGAGACGGTGTCAAGTTGGCGTGGCTTAATGTAGATATTTGAGGAGTGTTTTTTTAGTGAAATAGGGAAACGGTGTATTTTAACGTAGCTAAATTTACTAAGCATCGTTTAGTCAGCCATTTATAGAGCAAATATTTTTTATGGGAGCTGATCTAGAACTAAATGTTTAACTTCTAACTACGGGCATTTTTAATCGTTCCTGATGCATTCGTTTCTCTATTGATTTATCAATGCCACAAATTGGCACCACGACTTTCGAGTTGCGTAGATCATATTTAATCTCCGAATGTTTCAGGTACTACTACGACAAGAACATCATGACCAAGGTGCACGGCAAGCGGTACGCGTACAAGTTCGACTTCCACGGTCTGGCAGCTGCCACCCAGCCGGCCGCGGACCCTGCCGCCTACAAGTACCAGGGCGACTTCTTCATGGGCTACCATAGCTCCTCAAAGCTGAACTTCATGACGCCCCACACGCCGATGCCGAGCAGCACAGGTGAGGACGGCTTGGGAACTTAGTGGTGTGGGGAATTGTGAATTTGGTTGGGTAGCTGGGTTTTTAAGGGTGCGTTTCACGCGACCTTTACACCACCTGGCGAGGATCTTGCCGACATAGAGATACGTTTCTAGACCAGTAGATGGCCCTAGCGCTGAACGCCGATTTGTTGTCATAGGACAAGTATCACATTTCCCCTGTCCATCCATCTGTTAGCGCAGAGGGGTTCGACTGCCGGGCCGCCCCTCCCCATCCGCGCCCCGCGAGTTCGGGGAGGAGTGGCACGGGTCCGCCGCGCCGCGCCGGTCAGGCCGGGCGGAAAGGACCAGATGTCAAGCACTCAGTCGAACCACATTGGGCCTAACCCGCGCCGACACACATGGATAGGGAAAGACCGGAATAATGAGAAGGCTAATAGAATGAGGTACAGGAAAGCAGCTTCAGTCACATTCATAGTGTTAGGGAAGTGTGGCATTTTTTGGTCAATCTTGCAAGTTTTTATTTTGTTGCCCGTATAAGCGCTGCGAAACTTGGCATAGCTTATCGTGCATCAATTTCTCATCGTGTGTGAAATTGTAGAACCCAGGTCTCAGAAGTTTAGGTCACCCAGCTCAGGCATATCCTAGGTGCTCGAAACTCGGGTTATTGCATGAGCTATCAGAATGAGCTACCTACACTGTATAGTGCCGGACTATCGCATCAGAAGGCACAGATGAATATGCTTTATAAAACGCTTACAATTTTGTCACCGCATCAGAGCTATAGTAGATGCCCGAGTCCTTTGTAAGTTGCAGTGCACGATGTAATAAGGCCATTGGTAGCTGCAACTTGTACATATGTCCCGGAATCTTATAACCGCATCCGAACTTAAATCCCCCAAGAAATCGTTCGGGTCGGAGCTTTCGAATTGTATAACAAAACTTCGTCAGCGTGTCGTAATCAGGTTCGGGGGGTATCGGTTGCAAAATTGAGGACGTTTTGCGACCGATGGAACTCCTCGTGATGAAGTGCATCAAAATAGGTACTCTTTTTATGCAAAAGTATCAACTTCGAAATTTGACCTTTTTTACCAGATCTTGACCTAACCTCCACCAGAAAGTAACCTAAGTCCTAAGCCGTCCCTCATGGTCGTCTAACCAAAACCATTGAGTTGGAAATGAAAAATTGGTCACAAAACATGCATCACACGGCCCTAGAAAAGTTGGGTTCACGTGTTGACCCTTGGTGACCTGACCTCTGTGACCTGACCTGGTATCAGTGACGTCTTTTAACAACATCTGTATGTACAAGGCAACCGACGCGTTAACCCGCGCCCTGGTGGGGTCTGTTTATAACGCGACCTGGTGGGGGGGGGGGGGGGCTATTTTTTGTCCCCCCCCCTCGTATCTCCGAAACTATTGGACGGATCCCCAAAATTCAAACGGCGTTCGAAAGGCCTGTCAAATTTGTTGAAGGAAACCAAATTTCATTGACCTCGGGGTCACCGATGACGTCACAAGTCAGGTCAAAGATGAAATGTTTCACCGTTCACGGGTCATCTAGGGAATGCGCTATAACACCGAAGAAAACGCATTTTGTCGAGAATCAGCGATAGGGCGTCAGTTGCCTAGTACATATGTTACTATAAGAGGTCACTGACATTATCAGGTCAGGTCACAGGTCAGGTCACCAAGGGTCACAGCCACAGGTCAGGTCACATGAACCTAACTTTAGGTACTAAGGTTGTGCGATGCATGTTTTATGGCCAATTTTTCATTTCCAACTCTATGGTGTTGGTTATAAGACTATCAGGTACGGCTTAGGTCACTTTCTGGTGAAGGTCAGGTCAAGGTCAGGTCAAAAAAGGTCAAATTTTAAAGTTGATAGTTTTGCATAAAATGGGTATTGATTCGATGCAGCTCGTCACGGGGAGTCTAATGATGTTCTTTGTTTTGCGCTACGGGGTCTAGAATTGCTAAACATTGAGTTTGAAAATTTGACGTCATCAATTTTGAACCGTTTTTTCGCTATAACTTCGCCAAAAAAGAGGTATCAATCTCAAATTTGGTATGTAGATAGAAAGCGGTAAGTCGAATATCACATATATTCTGGTTTTTGCGAAATTCAAAAAAACGTTTTGGATTTTTCGGCTATTATATTTAAAAAATATATTTTTTTTTATTTTTGGGGGTCAAAATCCAAAAATTTCAAAAATCTGAGATAACAGTTTTGTAGCCCTGTCAATTCTACAGCGTTTATGTCTTAATCGTTTTTTTGTATTTGCAAAGCTATAGGCCTGACAGCTCTTCCGGCGAAACCCTTTTTTGGGTCGAAAACGGCAGAACATGACGTCACTCTGACGTCATTTCCGGCCAACCTATCATAGTCTTTGGAAAAAATTTTGGTCACAATGTGTAAAATTGATGTCCGGGAGGGTACTGAAAGTTTGGTGACGATCAGCGCAGCGGTTCTGGAGATATATGGAAAAGTCTGGAGGAGGGGCAAAAAAAAGCCCCGCCCCCCCACCAGGGCGCGGGTTAATACCCTGCCAGGACGAGGGTTTTGACATAACAGTCGAACTGATCTTTGGTCTCACGTCACTTAGGGTCTATGCCTCCATGGAATTGGTAGGTATTGCTGGTTATTTTCATTATTTATGATCAGTACCGACTACCCAGGTCAGGTCAAATACCTATTGTCAAAATATACCTGTTCGCTGTTCGTAATACCACTGACACAAACTAATTGTGACATCTTTCAAAGTTGTCAGTTTCTCACAAGCTCTTCCCGGCGCACTCCCGATCAAGAGTGAGAGGCGCGTGATAGGAGACGCCTGGCTGGGCGCCGCTCATGGATAGATCGTGGGATGAGTCTCCGTCCTCCGACACGTCTGGTCACGCCGAAACTTAGCAGGGAGGGTTCAGGGCACCTCGACGGCGGCCGAACGCCAGCGGAGCGCCGTAACTAATGGGTGTGACACTGTGTCAACAAACGCCGCTGAGTGACGAGCCGAGGGGACCGTCGAAACGCGCGGGCCATACAGCCAGTGACATCTCTCGGCGATTTTATGAACTAGCTGTGCAATGACTTTCAAATGAATAGAACTGCATAGTGATGCATGCAATGATGATTCAATCTACAGGATTGTGTAGAGAATCGATGTCTTTATGATTCCTAGCAGCCACATTTTTGAAATTGTTGTCGCGGCTTTTATGCAATGCACTGCAAGATGAAAATTGTATCATGCAAAACATGGTACAAAAATTGAAAAAAGGCTTGCTAGGAAATGTTTTCCTTGACTTAGTCAGTCCAAAACTGCAAACATCACAGTCGTACGACAATCCGTTATTGAGTTCTATTCGTTTGAAATTTTGATTTTGCAATATGTTTGTCCCAATTGCTCAGTATATGTGGATTGCAGAACAACGGTTACCACTCTGTGATGACGAGGTTAACGTCCTTCATAACATATCAAAAAACGAAGGCAATCGAAGCAACGATGCTCTAGATATTTACGAAAAACGTTTCTCATAGCGTTACGCGTGAAACGCACCCTTAAGCCGGTGGTTTGAGGGATGGGTACCCGTAAAAGCCTGGATAAAAATTAAACACCGATTTGGGTAACATATATTAAGCGTCATAATGTTTTCTTTTGTACTCAATACCTCAGAATCCATGGTCAGAACATCATTTATTTTTCTTGCTTTGAAGTTTTACTAATGTCAACGTGAAAGTCTCTACGCTGCCAGATGAAGATGCGTGTAACTACCCGACACGAACTAACCGTCCCTCTCATTTCCAGGGAGCATATTCCCGTCGCCGTCGTCCTACTGGCCGAACCCGAGCGCCAACCTGTACTCCAACATCGCCGCCGCCTCGGGCCACATGACGTCACACCACCCCAGCCATATGACGTCACACATCTCGTCATACCCGCACTATGCGTGACAGACCCCCGCCAAGTGGTGGATGTGGAGCCCACCCGACGACCCGGGCGTAAGCGATAATTTCTGATAACTGTTCCGGACAGCCAGAAATGGCAATGGTTTGATTATGATTTGGTTTAGTCAATGTGGCTTTTATTCTTTTTGTTCATATGTGAGTGTTGCAATGCTTTGTTGCTACTTAATCATGCAAGACTGTGCTGATTTTACATCATTTTACATTATACTCGAATACTCCCGTTGAGAATCATTGTTTGATCTCAAGATATCCGTCAGTTTATTCCAGCAACTATGTACAAGTGTATAGTCGATATATTTAAACAGGTCAGAAATGGTACTGTGATAATGCCTGAATACTCGTAACATGCATAGCTAGTTTGGCGCTAGGACCGAGCGAATGTTCACAGCTGTAGCAAATGTCGTTGAGCTCCGTGGTTTTGACAAATGTCCGACTTGTGAACTTGTCGCAGTTGATGTCAGTGAACAGGATGGTTTAGTTGCAGCGTTGATCCTTCGAAACCTATGTGTAGGCGTTTATTTTCATCCCTCCGCATGTTTAAGGTGCGTTTTAAGTGATAGTTCCTCATCATTCTAGTCAGTCTTGTGATTGTGCAATATTGTGGCTGATGCTCCATGCCATAATTTTTTATTTTAATAAGTATTTAAGGTATATTTTGGAGGATATTATGCATGTATGTTATTATATTTATTTATGTTTCATAATTATATCGTCATTTATTATTTATTAATGTGTCCTGTAACACATGTGTCAGTGATCTCTTGGGCATTCTTTGATGTATGCCTCCTTCTTAGAACGTTCTTTTTGATGTCATCAAGGTGACGTTTATGCCAACTGGTGTTGTCCACGTATTGGTATTATTTTTGGGCACTTTATCTACATAGAGGTGACAATTTCAGTGTTTGACAGAATACTCAATACGACCCAGTGGGTTTGTAGTTGAGTATGGATACCGACTCGATCGGGTAACAAGCTACATCTCGATTTTGTAAATATAGAGAGCGCATTGTTAAGTCATGTGTACAAAGATGTCATGGGAGCCGCCGTCTACATTGAGAGAAATAAAACTGGTTTGAGATGAAGTGATTGTCTCGCATTTTCTTCCTGCATGTTACCGATGTTATTTGAGCATAGGTACCATGCATAATAAGCGAAGGCGAATTTCAAAGCCAAGCAACTGAAAGCGTTTTAGTTAGAAAACATTATTTAGGTATTTTTCTAGGCTCGAGAGCCTGCGCTCGCACGTGTTATCCTCTGGAGTCCCCATCGCCCCCCGTCCCCGTGCTGTCAGCTGGAGGCGGACAATCTGCCGCGACGGGCCGCCTCTGGCTGTCACTGCTGTCAGGACCGAAAGTTCCGCTCAGTAGAGCGAGGAATCGCACACTTTTCTGAAGTGACGCGCTGAACGCAATCGGTCTCAGCCTGTCGCCGAGCGACATATCTGCGCCAATCATTTCACAGATGTGTTGGAGTTCAGTTGGTCAGAGCAATGACCCGTGTGAGATTTTGGCAATCGCTTGCCTGATTAAATGAACGGAACTGACAGGACAGTCACTAAGGTGTTAGGAGCCGGCGGGATATTTATTTATTTATTGTTTAGGTCTGATATTCCAAAGACGACTTGCAGTACTTCAGCAAGCCATGCCGTTTATTTTCAACGGCATATCTCGACAACCTTACACCACAATCCACAGAGACCGTCAATGGGACGTTTACCCTCAGTTCCGTCCCCCCTCTTCGGCTAATTCACACCATCCTCAATAGCCCCGTTTCCATGACACTTCTGAATCCGGATTAGCTCCGAATCCGGATTCAAACGACCATGGAAACGGCACATTTCGCGTTGGGGGATCGGATCGGGTAATCCGGATTCAAAAAGAAGATTAGAGAGGCCGATCCCACTTTGGCAGCATATGGCAGCACTATTCCCTTTGCGGCAGGCTGCGCCGCCGCCATTTTCAACTGAGCGTTTCGGCGCCAGTTTTGGTCTGCGGTTTATGTTTGCTGCAATAATTGGGATACATTTTCTTAACCAATTGTTACAAAGCACGGCAGAAACTTACATGGTCGCAAGAGAAGACGACAGACGACACTACACACTCAGCACACCCACGTCCACCCTCCCCGAGCGGCACCGCGCGACACTAGGGGACGCGCCAAGGTCGCGCCGTCTCCCCTACCCGCCGCGGCGGGGACCCTCGCCGCCGGCCGTACAGTCTCGCCGCCGGCCGGGTACAGTCTCGCCGCCGGCCGTACAGTCTTTAACACTGACACCGTGGTCGCTGAATCCCAGTCGGTAGTCTCTGCGCACAAACGGTGGCACAGATCCCTGAAAAGACACAACTTACCGCTTGATTCGCATTAGCTTGAGAACGTTATGAAGGGAATTATGAAGTAAATCGCCGCAGCGCGCCAGTTACGTCTACCAATCCCGGATTAGAGAAGCCGATCCGGATCGGCCAATCCCGGTGCGAATCCTGTTTCGGGAGGGATCGGTCATGGAAATGGCACTGCTGATCCGGATTCGCCGATCCGGATTCGCCGATCCGATCCTGTCCGTAGTGTCATGGAAACAGGGCTAATGTGACTGAGTGTCTCGGCCGTGTTCTCACCAGTCTGTTTTGGCGAGGACTGGTCGAGTCTGTAGTCTGGTCTGGTGAGGAATGATCGGGTCTGTACTTGTATAGCCTGGTCTGGGTGAGGATCAGTCGGGTCTATAGTCGCCAGTCGGGTTTTGGGTGAGCACCGATGGGGTCTGTAGGTAGACGGGTTTGCTAGCACTGTTAGGGTCTGGCCGGATCGATCGAGTCTGATGTCTGGTCTGGTGAGAAATGATCGGGTCTGTAGCCAGGTCTGGGTGGAGATCAGCCGGGTCTGAACTGATCGGGTCTCCACATGGGTCTGGCTGGCATCGGCAGGATCTTTATTCGGGTTTAGCCAGGACGGGTCGTTCTGAATAAATTCCCGTCTAGCCAGGACCGGTCGCTGTCCCAGTAGTGCCTGGCACCAGATCTCAATGGACCGTTCAGGTCGTCAACTGACCCAAAATCGAGCCACTCCCATATCGATTCCGACACTGACTCCAACTCCGACGAACAGTACATACCTGACTGTGTCGCATTCTCTTGCGTTGACTGACGCCGAGTTGAGTCTAACTGGATATCCGCTGATTGGTCGTAGCGTCTCGAATCGCTCGGCCATTCGGCAGCAGTCTGGGCCTTGTCTGACAGACTGGAGACTGTAAAAACTGTGACGTGTACGTAATTTCGTACAGGTGCCGGTAACCGGTCGTCACCTACCAGCCAAGCCAGGCATGTCGTTCCTCGCTGGCTCTACTTCTACCGGATTTGTCGTGCAAGGGTCGACAACCGGACGAATTGAAATAGACCGAGACTGGATGGAAGCATTTCATCGAACACTGCCGGAGTTGAAATAAAGGCCGGCGCAGCTTCTGAGATATCTATGTATTTAGTGTGGCAGAATAGCGACATTCTGTCACTTTCTACACATGTGTTGCTTATAAATGGTAGCAAAGCTATAAACGATGTGCGATAACGATACTGCAGACATTCTCTGACACAATGAGGCGCCGTTCTTTTCAATGCGCATTCTGAGACTACTTAAAGTTGAATATTTGGTTCCCAACACGCCCTTGCAACCAGTTTACCCCAAACCTGCTGCTGATGCAGAGGATATACCCACATCCGAACGTCATCACGCATTATGTAGAAAGCGGCCGTTAACGGTATCTCAGCCCACTGGTTTCTTAAGCCGGTTGTCTGCGATGTGAGCTGACCTCTGCGGCACCTCACTGACCTCTGATCCCGACTGACCGCGGCCGACCGCCCCAAGAACCGGCCCAGCTCCCGGGCGGTGGGCAGGGTCCGGTTTAGCACGTCACCAACCGCTCTGTGTCCGCAAATTGGGTCGGAAGGTCGGCGCGGATGTATCCGCAAATACGAAGCTCTGAGCTTCCGCCTGGTGGCTGTCGAGGTCGAGCTGAATCTAAGTGTGTCATTGTTCTCCTGAGTAAATGCGCACTGCGCAGGGAAGTTTGCAGAGTTTCGTCGGGACAACCGCTCCGCGTTGTATACCTATCTCTCTGCATTTTGATGCCAATTAGTCATTTGGCGTACGCAAAGACCGTTTTGGATATCATTTCTTTTATTGGTAGAAAATGTTAATCACACTTTCAATAAATAGACATGCATATACACAATAAATAAATAACAACTGTACAAAACAGCACATCAGTAGGAATTGCCCGTGTTACAAAAGCGGCACATTTGGCACACGTAAAACCACATTATACCTGCTCATAAAATATGCCCATTATACCTCAGGTTGACACCACTAGCGCACAAATGCCAAATGCCAGCATGCAAATGCCTCCACGTATCCATATTGGACCCATTTAGCCCTGTTCAACAAAACCATCGACGACGCCCGAAAAGCGACGACCACACAACCCGAAGAGATTGAGCGCTAGTTTTACACTGGCGGTGATAGCGTTGAGCGTGACAGCGTCATAACGTCTGTCTTCACACGGACGGATTATAGTCTACCCCTGGCGCCTCAGTAAACAGTGACTGCCGAGGGACATTGTCTTTGTCACCTGCTGCTGCCTTCTGTAGAACCGCAGCAACTGAGGTTTCACTACACTGTCATATGAATACCACTTAAGCGAGTGGAGTCACCCGTTAGATAAGCGCTCCCGCTGTCAAGCTAGCCAACAGAAGCATCACCGGAAACCCGAGCACCGCCTTGGCCGGCATGCCCTGTAGCGTCTTCAACTTCTGCGCCAGCAGGCTGGAGATGCTGGTGCCGCTGCCATCCTCCTGCTGTTGCTGTTGTTGGAGTGCCAGCAGCGTAGCCACCTGCTGCGGGGTGTACTGCTGCACGTGGACGGCTTCGACCGTGGCGTACGGATCGCCGTGCTCTGTCGAGGCTAGCACGTGAGGCACCACTTCAACATACTCCTCTGCTTGGACTGGCTGAACATGCTGGACCTGCTGGACGTGCTGGACCTCCTGTGGGACGGCCACCACCGTCTGCACCTTCTCCGGGGCGTAGTGCTGCTGGTAGCCGACTAGAGCGGCCTGCTGTAGGGCGGCCGTCTCCGCGTGGTGCGGACGCGCCACGCTGACATGGACCTCCGACGCCGGCTGTGCCTCGTCCAGGGTGACGTGAAGAGCCTGAGCTACGCCCTGAGCGTGCACGGGCTTCACGACGTGCTGAACTGTGGGAACGAATTGCGCCTGGACTTCGTGAACTGGAACCTCGTGTTGAACTACCTGTACTTGCTGCACAGGGACTTCATGTTGTACAACCTGAGCGTACTGGGGCTGCTCGTGCTCAATAACCTGAACGTACTGAGGTTGCACGTCCTCCTGTTGTACAACCTGAACGTGTTCTACGGGCACCTCTTGCTGCACAACCTGAGCATACTGAGGCTGTACTTCTTGCTGCACAAGCTGTGCATACTGAGGCTTGTGCGGTACAACCTGATCATAGTACGGCTGTGCTTCATGTTCCACCTGCTTTTCAACCAGCCTTACAACTTGTACATCATCCGACTGCCCGGACGCCACTGCATGCTGATAAGCCGTCAGCGCGTGCTCCTGATACTCGGCCAACTCCGACGGCTCCGCACTTCCCACTGCCAGATGAACTTGCTGATGTTCCGGAGAATACGCCACCGATTCGTGAGGCGCGCTCAGTTGCACGTACTGCACGGCAGGTGCGTAGGCGGGCTGGACGTTCTCTACTGCCGGAGCTGCGGAGGAGAGCTGCGCGTGAGCTTGCTGATATTGGGGTACTGAAACGTATGGCACAGAAGTCTGCTGTACCGACGGGTGAGGCACTGATGTTTGCTGCACTGTAGCATACGGTACTGATGCCTGCTGTACTGAACCGTACGGTACTGATGTCTGCTGTACTGAACCGTACGGTACTGAAGGGCGAGGTACTGATGTTTGCTGAACTGAAGCGTATGGCACGGAAGGACGAGGTACCGACGGACGAGGTGCCGAGGGATGAGGTACCGAAGGGCGAGGTACAGACGTCTGAGGTACTGACGGCCGAGACACAGAAGGATGTGGTACAGAAGTCTGCGGTACCACCTCAGCACCCGGCGCAGCCGATCCAAAGTGAACCGGGTTTACCTGGGAGGCGATGACCGGATCAGGCGCCGTTCCAGTAGCTCCGTACTGCTGTTGTAGGGCGAACAGCTCCTGTAGCTTGGTCAGCTCGTCAGCCGGAGGTTCGGCCGGGTCTGCCGGGCGGGCCACCGGGCGGCGCTGGACGGTCACCGCCGGTCGAGAGGGGACAGTCTGGGCTCCACTGTTGACCGGAGCAGTGGCTGACGTAGAGCCCGCTCTCACAGGAGCTACACTCTCGTCAGCCTGGGCGTACTGCTGCTGCAGCAGGGCCAGCCTCTCGATGTCCGTAAGCTCCGCCGCCGGGGTTTGACTCTGGGTAGCAGTCGACTGAGCCACACCGACCGGGCGGGTCTGAGTTGTCTCCGCCGCCGGCGCCAGAGAACCGGCCCTAACCGGGGCGACACTAGCCACTCCACCCGCCGGGGCGTACTCCTGCTGAAGCAGCGCTAGCTGATCTAGATCACTCGGCGTCGCAGCCGCCACCACTGCCGGCGCGGCCTGCTGGTACTGCTGCTGCAGCTCCGTCAGCTGCTGTAGCAACTGCTGAGGATCGGTAGGACCCTCCGCGGCATCCGCATCCTCGGCTACTGCCAGGATGTCGCTCAGGTACTGCTGTTTGAGCGCCTCCAGACGATCCTCCTCAGTAAGAAGCTGAGTAGGCCGCTGGGCCGGGGCTGCTCCCTGTGGCGCGTCGGCAGATGTGTCCACTCGAGTTGGAGCCGGTGTGCCGGCGAAAATGATACGGTCGTCGGTCGGCGGGGAGACGAACCGATTCGCCTCGACGTATGGCACCAGGACGTCATCGGTGAGGCTCAGCGCTGTGGAGCGAGAGAGGATAGGAGGTTAGATACGACACGGGGGAAGGAAACCATGCCTATGACGATCATAGAATAAATTATTTGGGATTAATACGGTACAAGAAGACAGCTCGAATGGCAATGATTTAGATATGAAAGTTTCCGTAAAATTTTACAGCTACTCCTACTCGAAATAACGTCGAACAATACGTCATTCGTGCTTCGTAGTTATTCGACTGAAACAAACAAGCAAACAACAAACTCTGGCATAAGCGGTAAAAAACCAGCCCTACCATCAAATACTCTAACCCACTCGCTACCGAAAAACCCACTGCGTTCACACCTCCCCTACTACCATCCACACTCCATAGTCTACAGTTACACCCTCATCCCCTCTACTTACTCAGCGGCCGGACGTCGGCGAAGACAGTCGACTCGAACAGCCGATTATCTGCACCAGTCAGGAAGGCCAACACGTACGGCTTGGCCGTGTTGATGGGCTGGTAGGGCGTGGGCCCGCAGCCCTCGCACAGCACAGAGACGCTGATGTCCATCTGCGGACTGACCGTGAGACGGACACCTGCGGGGGGAGGGAGGGGGGAGAGGTTAGAAACGGGGCACGGGGGGGGGCTGACGTGTGCTTATAAGCTAAACGTCAATTAGATCGATAAAGTTATTTGAATTGGATGGATCCGCTTAGACATGAATGCGATACCTTCATATGCGTAATCTATTCCATCTACACACTCGAGTAAACGATACGACAAATAAGACACAACTCTCAGAAATATCGACAATTTTTACAATAAAATTAAAGCACAAAACAATCGTCTAAATTCAAAACAAGCTCCTGATACCATGTGTAGAAATTTAAATGTGCAAACACTTACCCGACATATGGAAGAACAACGGGCTTCCCTCCAGGACACGGATGAAGTCCTCAAAGCGCGATCCCTCGATTGTCACAATCGAGATCCTGGGATTGTTTCTCACGACGGAGATAATGTCCGACCTTCGGATTTCACCTGGAAAGAGGCGATAGGTTAGATGCATGTCCAGGAGATATCTCTCACATCAAATCAACAAAAAAAAATGTCAAAGAGAACCTGACAGTGTAAAATGTAATCGTCAATGGGTGGAGGGAGGTATTCAGTATGTCGATGAAGTGCCCATTACATGGACAACACCGGTTACATGCATTTCATTCAAGCGTACCTTGCCAGGAGCCTTGGAAGACATCGCTGGCCACAAACGTTCCTTCGACTTCGGCTCTCAGCTGTGAAGGAACAAACATGAGTTAGACATTAGACAATGATAAGGACGGACACAACTTGAAGTCGTCAATGAGACGTGCTACGAGCTTTTGCCAGATTTCCTTCAAAATGAGTCACACAGCAAAAGTACAACGCATTTGCAAGCATTGCATCTCACTCAACAACATCCCACAAAACGACATTCTAAAAAAATGATCTGTCCTACCTCCCCCACTCTCTCTTATCCCGATCCACAACTCACCCTCCAGCGAAGCGCATCAGCGATGATCTTTCCCATGGCGCACTCTGTTCCGAGGCAGTCGGTCAGCTCCCCTGCGATCTGTCCTGCCGTAACCCCAAGCACGGGATCATCTCTAGTCGGAGTCTGCGCTCCCTGTGTGGCTGGCACGGACTGGATCGGTGGAGATGGTGCACCGCTCGCAGGGGCGGAAGGGGATGGGGCGGACTGTGGAGCTGGGGCGATGGGGGTAGCGACAGCGCTGGGTGACGGAGAAGATGGTGTGAGGTCCTCTCTGACCGGTGGAGTTCCAGGAGCGGGGACAGAAGCAGGGGCGGAGACAGGGATGATGACAGGGGCGGATACAGAAACTGAGGCGGGAGAAAGAGGAGAGGTGGGGATCACGGGGACTGAGCCGGTCGACACTCCCTGTCCAGTCGGCAGCTGCGGGTAGGCAGAGGGCGGCACGACTCCCGCGTCCACCGCTCCCGGGCTGCGGACGGGTACGAACGCCTCCTGTCCGGACACCGGCAGCAGACCGGCGGGGAGAGATCCGGTCAGCAGCGCCAGCAGCTGGCTCTGTGACAGGCCGAGGGAGGAGAGGTCCTCCTGACTGATAATCGCCATCAGCTCGTCCTCGGTAACGTGGGATGGTATAGACGGAAGGACCGGCCGCTGGCCTGGCGTCGGGCCAGCGGCAGGGACGGCAGGCTGGGCAGGGACGGCCGGTTGAGCAGGAACGCTGCCCGGCTGGGCAGGAACGCTGCCTGTCTGAGGAGCGACAGCCGGCTGCTCAGGAACACCAGCCGGCTGCCTCAGCGGTGTCTCCGAGTCCACCGGCTGAGGCAGATACTGAGGAGCATCGCCAGGCTGCTCTAGAGGAGCTTCAGGCTCGGCTATCTCGTTCGGCGATAGGTCTTCAGGTGCGGCTAGTTCAGGCTCTAGCATATCCTCAGGCCCGGCGAGCTCGTCTAGGGGCTCTTCAGGCTGGGCAATCTCATTCTGCGATAGATCTTCGGGTGCGACGAACTCTGTTCCTAGTACGCCTTCAGCTTCTCCAGACCCAGCCTCAGTCGGTATTCCAGCCTCTCCATTCTGATCTTCAGTCGGTACTCCAGTCTCTCCAATCTGAGCTTCAGTTGGTATTCCAGCCGCTCCAGTCTGAGCTTCAGTCGGTACTTCAGTCTCTGCAGTCTGAGCTTCAGTTGGTACGTCAGTCTCTCCAGTCTGGGCTTCAGTCGGTACGTCAGTCTCTCCAGTCTCCATCTTGGTCGGTACTTCAGTCTCATCAGTCGGTCCTTCAGTATCAACTCCAGTCGGTACTTCAGTCTCCTTAGTCTTAACATTCATCGGATCTTCAGGCTCAGCAGTCTGAGGCTCATCAGCCACCACCGGCGCGTCTCCACTGACCTCCTCATGTGCAGCAGTCTCCTCCTTCACTATGCCCTGGATGGCACTGATGACCCCCGATACATCACCCGCTCCTCCAGGCAGACTGGCCGCATCGCTCGCCGGCAGCGCAGGACTGTCAGAGCTGGGGAGCTGCTCCTGCTGTTCTGTGACGATGCCCTGAATGGTGTTGATAACGTCCGTAGCACTCTGTCCTGGGGCGCCAGATTGGCCGTACAAGGGTTGAGAGGGTGAAGTGATCTGCCCGAGGGACGGAATCTGGGGCTGGGATGGAACTGGTTCGACAGGTTGAACAGGAGAAGGCGCTTGTTGCGGAACTTGAACAGGTTCTTGAGGCTGGAGTGGAGAGGGCTCTTCAGTCTGCACTGGTGACTGTACTTCAGTCTGCATGGGCGATGGCTCCTCAGTCTGAACTGGTGAGGGTACTTGCGGCTGAACTGGAGAGTTATCAGACTGAACTGTGGATTGTCCCTCAGTCTGGACTGGAGAAGTCTCCTCAGGCTGATCCATGGATTGTTCTTCAGACTGAACTGGTGCCGTTTCTACATCCTGGTTTTGAGAAGGGTCTTTGAACTGAGCAGGCATAGGTTCTTTAGACTGGACTGGAGACGGTTCTCCAGCCTGAACTGAAGAAGGCTCTTCGGTCTCTGAGATAGGGACTTCGGTCTGAACCGGGGAGACAGTGTCCACTTTTTCTTCTGCCAGAGGGGCCTCCGCTCCCGGAGGAATGACCTCAGCATCTTCAGTGTCCGACACAGGAGCTGCAGAGTCAGAGGTAATTTCAGCCTCTGGGCCCACGGCAGTCGCTGAGCTATCCGCGGTAACCGAGCTGGCTCCGTCCTCTGGGCTCGCCGCTGTATCAGCGTTCACTCCGGCCTCTGAGCCAAGATCAGTCTGGGAATCCTCGGCAGTCGTTGAGCTCTCCGCAATAGCTGAACCCACTTCATTCTCCGGGTTTACTCCCATATCCGAGGTAAGATCGCTCTCCGAGCTAAGTGGAGCGGTCTCACCCTCAGGTGCCTGCTCAGGACTCTCGACCGGTTTTCCGATCACCACTCCCTCCGGCATGTTATCCTTGATCGTCTGCAGGATATCCTCCTTGTCGACCTCCACCACTTCAGACTCTGCTGACGAGAGGTACCCCTGCTGCTCGGGGGCGTCGGGTCTCCTCGCTGGAACGAAACCTGACTGAGATATGGCCGTCAGAGGGACGAGAGAGTCCAGAGGAGCGGTCTCCTGGGAATTCTGCTTGTTCGGGTACCAGAAGAGACCGTTTGCTGGCAGGACGGCGTTGGTGAGGGAGGTTTCGATGTCCTCAGAAGCGATGTCGGTTTCAGTATTGTCAGAGGTGGGCACAGCCTCCGCGGTATTAGCATCAGAACTAGTCTCGACAGAGCCGGGGCTCACTTCCATGGGCTCAGCATCGGAACTCACTGAAGAAGTTTGAGAATCGGAGCTCATTTCAGCAGTATCAGAACTGACCTCGGCAGAGACAGGGCTCACTTCAGCAGTCTGAGAATCAGTGTCAGAGTCTGCACTTACGGTCTCAGTATCAGCATTCACTTCGGGAGTCTCAGAATCAGAACTCAATTCAGTAGGCTCAGCATCGGCACTCACTTCAGCAGTATCAGCGCCTAATCTCATGGGCTCAGAATCAGAGTTCACCTGAGCAGGCTCGGCATCAGAAGAGCTTACTTCAGCAGTTTCAGAGACTTTGCTCATCTCGTCAGTCTCAGCATCTGAGTTCACTTCGGAAGCCTCAGAGTCTGAGCTCACTTCAGCAGTTTCAGAGACTGGGCTCACGTCGGCAATCTCAGCAGCAGAGCTCACGTCAGCAGGTACAGAATCAGAGCTTACTTCGGCGGACTCGACATCAGGGCTAACTTCGACAGCATCGGAATCTGAACTCATGTCAGCAGTCTCAGATCCTGGGCTCACTTCAGCAGTCTCAGAACCAGAGCTAGCTTCACCAGCATCAGCGTCGGAGCTCACATCAGCAGTCACAATATCAGGGTTCACTTCAGGAGTCTCAGTGTCTGGGTTTACTGCCTCAGGCTCAGCATCGGAGCTCATTTCAGCATTCTGGACATCAGAGATCACCTCAGGGGCCTCAGGGTCGGACATCGTGTCGGTAGCTCCCGAGTCTGAGTTTATCTCAGCAGCTTCAGAGTCGGCGCTCACTTCAGCAGGCGACATATCAGAACTATCTTTAGCAGCCTGATCATCAGAGGTTACTCCAACCATGTCTGGGCCCGTTCCAGCAGTGACAGCATCCGAGCTCACTTCAGCAGGCTCGTCGTCAGAGCTCACTTCAGTGGGAGCAGAATCAGGAGCCATATCCGCGGGCTCGGCATCGGAGTTCACTTCAGCAGGCTCGGAATAAGAGCTTACTGCAGCGGGCTCAGTATCTGGGCCCGCCTCAGACGTATCAGCATCGGAGTTCACTTCAGCAGTTTCAGAATCCGAGCTCATCCCGGCATCAGGGCTTACTTCAGCAGGCTCAGAGTCTGGGCTGGCGGCAACAGTCTCAGAGGTGGAACTTATGTCAGTTGTCTCTGGAATAGAGCCATCAGCATTCACCTCCGAACCGGGAATAGCTGCGGCGCCATCAGAATCGGAGATGGGATTGGCAGCTTCAGCATCCGAGTTCAACGCAGAAGTATCTGAAACCGAACTTCCTTCATCCTCGGAGTTAGGGCTCACTTCCCCAGCATCAGCAACAACAGGGTCTGCAGCAGCCTGGGAACCTTCAGCAGGCTCAGATCCTGGGATCACTTCAGCAGTCGCGGTATCCGAGCTCACTTCAGCAGGCTGAGCATCAGAACTCATCTCAGCAGTCTCGGAGTCTGAGCTCACCTCAGCAGCCTCAGATCCTGGGATCACTTCAGCAGTTTTAGAACCAGAGCTCATCTCAGCAGTCTCAGTATCTGAGCTCATCTCAGCAGTCTCAGAATCGGAGCTATCGTCAGCAGCCTCAACATCGGAGCTATCATCAGCAGGCTCTGAGTTTGAGCTTACTTCAGTAGTCTCGGTATCGGGTCTGACCTCAGGAGTATCAGTATCAGAGCTCACTTCCGCTGACTGAGCATCCGAGCTCACTCCGGCGGTCTCGATGTCAGAATTCGTTTCAACAGACTCTGGAACAAAGCCTTCGGTAGTATCGAAGCTATCGTCAGTAGACTCGGAATCAGAGCTGACTTCAGCGGGCTGAGTATCGGAGCTGATTTCAGCGGGCTCTGTGTCAGAGCTCATTGGCACAGACTCATCAGCAGAGCTCATATCAGCTGGTTCAGCATCGGAGCTTACTGCCACAGGCTCAGCATCGGAGTTAACTTCAACAGTCTCAGAAGCTGGGCTGAGGCCAGCAGTGGCAGAGGTAGAGCTGACTTCAGCGGCTTCAGCATCAGAGATCACTTCAGCAGCCTGAGAGTCTGGGTTCACTGCAACAGTCTCTGCGTCGGTGTTTCCGACAGCGGGCTGAACATCGGAGATTACTTCAGCAGACTCAGTGTCTGAGGTCATTCCAGCATCGGAGATCACTTCAGCAAGCTCAGTATCCGAGTTCACTTCGACTGTCTCTGCATCAAAACTCACTCCAGAAGTCTCTGCATCGGGGCTCGCTTCAACAGGCATAGTATCTGGGCTATCCTCAGCAGCTTCGGAAACTGGGTTCACTTCAGCAGGTTCAGACTCTGAGCCTGCATCAGCGGTCTCAGCGTTGTTGGTCGCAACAGCAGGACCAGAATCAGGGCTCACCTCGATGCCTGGACTAGTTCCGACGGGTCCAGGTTCCTTGCTGTCCTGAGATTCCTGGAGGCTGGTTACTGATTCGTCATCCTCAGGCAGTTGCTCAGCTTCTGCAGTGTTGCTGACCAAGCCTTCCTCGCCCTCATCCGCAGCTGACGATTCCTTGTTATCGTCTGCCTGGCTTCCTGATGTGCTGTCGAGAGTTTCACCATTAGTGTACTGAGCTTGGAGCTGTGCCAGTTTTTCTTCATCAGACATTACCGGAGCTGGCTCTCCTATATCTTCAGTCTCCTTCTCCGCTAGTCCTGAAAGATACTCTTCCTTCAACTCGGACAACTTGTCGGCATTCAGTTGCTGAGACCCGGTACCGGTTGTTTCAGGGACCTGCTCTTCGGTGCTGGAAATTGCAGTGGCGGGTTCGCCTTCCACACCGGCCTGAAGGTTCAAGTCTCCCACAGCAGCACCAGTATCTTGGGTTGACGCAACAGGCTCACTAGCATCGTCCATTTGAGGTTCCTTCTGCGCCTCTTCGACGGTGGAGACGTCAGTTGGCTCGCTATCTGTGTTCGCAGCGTCGGCGGTGACATCAAAGACATTAGGAATAGCTGGCTGAGCGTCATCGGGTGAGGTCTCTTCGTCAATCTTCGACTCCGAAATCGCATTGGTCGGGCCACTGTCCATCGTCTCTCCAACAATCGCTTGAATGGCATCCAGGACGCCAGCCACAGATCCGATACGAGATGGCTCTGGTGCATTGAAAAGCGATGCATCGATGAACTGGAGGTTCTGTCCAGCGTCTTCCTCGTCATAAGCCTGAACCGGGTACTCAATGCCGACTCCTGTGCCAGGGGTGAGATCCGTGGATTGCTGAAGTTCGTTTTCACCATCGGTTGCTGATGTCTGATCCTGCACGGGGCTTGCAATCGACTCCTGAGAAGTATTCTGGATTTCGGGCGACGTTACTGGCGCTTGGTCTTGGACAACGGCCTGAGATTCTTCGTTGATAAGTTGTTCCTGAGGAACATCGACAGGGGTGGTCGCTTCACCAGGAGGAACAGGAGAAGGGTCTTGTTCAGCGTCTGACGGAGCAACAATAGTGTTGGGAGACTCGTTGACGGTCTGCTCAATCGCATCCTGAGCATTCGGAGTGTCACTAGAAATTCCATCCTCTTGGGAAGTGATTCCGATACCAGCAGCTTCCTCAGACGTGCCAAGGATCTGATCATCATCAACAGCAGCAGCCACATCGGCAGCTTCACTCGGAGAAACGTTGGCATCACTCGGCATCTTATCAGAAGTCTCGCCCTGAACCTCGACCATACTGCCTTCGATACTTGGAGCCTGGATAATAGGATCCTGGGCAATATCTGCGGTCTGCACAGCTTCGCTAGCCTCCGAGTTCTGGGCAGAATCGTCAGAAATCTCCGAAGAGACACTGGCAGCGTCAGAGTCCGAAACAGTGTCCACAGCTTCGACGCTTGCTTCATCCTGGACGCTGTCAGCAGTCTCGGAAGTTGCCATGGTCTCAGACACTGGCGGAACGGGCTCGGCCGTATTACTGCTAGAAGCGACGTCGTTCATCGGAAGGGCGCCCTCGGTGTCTGCAACTTCCGGGATGCCGTCGGCCGATACGTTGTCGGATTGAATAGGAGCCGGTTCTTCAGATGCAATAACTGTTTCTGATGGCGTTTCAACTGCCTCAGGCTGAATATCATTGGCGTCATTAACCTCGGTTCCTGGCGCTGGGACTTCATCACTGTTTGCTTCAACCTCGTCCTGGTTGCCAGAGCCTTCGACTTCTGCGTCAATTTCTTCAGCGGTTGTCTCGTCTAGCGCAGGAGTGGAAGGGTCGCTAGCCATGCTCAAGTCAGGCGTATCCTTCTCCATATCTTCCATAGCTTGATCTGCATCCGACTCACCAGTCTCACTGATTTCCTTCTCGGAATCAGCCGTCTGCGGAGCATCGCCAAGCTGGACACTCACAGCAACTGTTTGCGCCGGTGGCATTCCAGATTCGGCATTATTGTCCTTCATGACGAGCATGGTTGTTGCATCATCATCCTTGCTGGCGTTCTGGACAAGAGATACTGCAGATTCGTCTGAAGTTTCCGACGTCTCAGCAGTCTCACCGGCCACAGGAGCTTCTGCTTCCTTTTCACTAGTCTCATCACTTGTCTCTTTTACTGGCGTCGTTCCGCTCGAGCTCTGCGTCATGCCCATGCTGTTTTTATCGACAAGCACAGCGGAGCCTGGCTGGTTCTCTGCTTCGTTAACGACAACAAACCTATCCTTGAGAGCTTCCACCTGAGCGGCAGTAAGGGGACCAAGGTCGCTCTTGAGATCCTGAACCTCAGCCGCCGTCAACGTTTCGGTGTTCTGATCAGGAGAGATTTCAGCCGCGGCAGGAGCAGCTGCCGCTTGGTTCTCATTAGCTGTCGCGTCTTTCACATCATCATTGGCATCAACAGTCGCTTCGGTGTCACTGGTCGAAGCATCTTCTTTCACCTGTTCTTCTGGCTTCTCTTCCTCTTCCGCCTGCTCAACGAGTTGTTCCTTCAACGCCAACGCTCCTTGCGCTGACAGCGGTCCCTTCTCCGTCCCTCTGACCACATCGTCGCCCTCAGTCGCTGCCGCAGTGAACGGTGGAACAAACGGCTGATTCTCCGGAATGAACACCTCGTCTGCGCCGTTTCCTCCGTCGGCGGACTCGACATTGGTGGCAGTCACGACGTCAGCCACAGAGGGCGGCGGAACGTCGCCGGCGACAGCCTGTTCCTCAGAGTACTGATTGGCCGCCACACCCAGAGTTTCAAGTGCCTCGGCGGGGCCCTGGCCTGAGCTCTCCACAGTGTCCATCTCAAGGAGAGCCAGCTGCTTCTGCTCCACGGCATCTGCGAAAGACGAGGGTACCGCCACGTCAGATAAACTGACGCTTAACGGTGGTGGGCCGCATAATATGCAGGCGAAGCTGGACAATGTTCCAATCAGGCCTGTTATTTATCTAAGGCTCATGTGTAACAAGTCGAATCCAGCACATCTTTCCACTACGACTTCGAAGCTACGCACCTATCGAATCATTATATCAGTCCAAATACCAAACTTCGCACGATTATTTTAATTACATAATACCCCGACAGCCGTCTCACCTCTGTTGGTTCCGTCGGCGACGGTGAACATGCCGACTCCCTTGGTGACCTGGTTGGTATCGTCGAACAGCAGGCGAGTGATGCCGATTAGGTGGTCGGTGGCCAGGGGAATCTCCAGTAGCGGCACCACAGTGCCCCACGGCTGCTCAATCTGAGGGAGGAGCAGCGGGGAACGTCAGGACACGTTTATCACTCGCGTTCGGAAAGAGTGGGAAGACGGTTCAGCTTCAGTAATAGCTTCAATAACAACATAAAGAGACGTCAGGATAATATACAAATACAATGCATGGCGATAAATAAAGTATCAACTATGCATGTAAACATGTTCAATGGCAGCACCAAGTTAATTAAACTTAGCGGCATCTCGGTAATGAACAAAGGAAGAAAATTGTTGTCATTACACTAGCACTACGCATGCCCCCCCCCCTCCCCCAAAGTGTCATCGTATTTATCAATACATGCACAGTTCCCGACTGCTGTCATTACGTACCGCCTGCGGGAAGGACTCTGTCGCGGCCGCGCGGGTCTCCACCGGTCCGGTCACCACGGCGTCCAGCCCGCGCACTTCGCGGGCGATCTCGGCGTTCCTGCGGTGTCCGGCGCTGCCCAGGGCGATGACAATGTCGACGCCCCGCTCCTTCAACCGTCGCACCTCGCGCTGGACGGCGGGCACCTCGGCCACGATCGGCATGCTGCCGGCGTCCAGAAGCTTTTGCTGGGGAGACGGAAGTAAGGGATGGTGAGGACGATTTTGTGGTTCTGGCGAGAAAGACTTTTCATGATAATCTTTAACACATGCATATTTGCATCACGATACTAAATTACATACCTATAAGAATATGGCATAATGCGATTCGTGAGGCTTGATTTTAGACAGATCTATCAATCATGATTTGGTTGTTCCGCAAATACCACAGTGAAATTCGTATAAAGAAGGCATTTCAACTTGGAATGGCAAACATGGATAATATAGAATCAATGCGACAAGCAGCAAAAGCGTGTAGCTTGTCGACCGTGTCCAGTCCCGAGCCCAACTCACGTTCAAATAGCGCGACACAAATCCGACGACTCCGACAGTCTTTCCGCCGATGTCGACGACCGTCGAGTCGGCGACGAAGCGGCGCAGCAGCGAGGACCTGATGTTGGACACGACGAACGTCTCCGGGGAGCCCACGACGCGCGCCATCAGCGAGCTGATGCCGCCGTTAAAGTCCTCCTTCGAGAAGGCCTGTAAGGCGATGGGGAGGGATGTGAAGGTAATGCGCGGGGTAAGCACGGCCGGATGCCTGGTATTAGGTACCGATTACGTGAACGTCATTAGCACTCGAAACACAATATGAATTGCTAGGAACATTGCTAGATAAAAGGCAAATCTTGATAAAAATTGTCAATACTTAACACAATACCAACAGCATTGTTGTAACATTCATAAAGTGGTGCAGCAACAAAATAGAAACATAGCGAAGGTTGATTCAACTGTCTCACAAAATTCACCAGCGTATCCATTTCTCCTCTCACTTTTCCATCGTTCCACCATCCCAACACAGTCCCATTCTCCCACCACCCTCCTCGAATCCCACCTTCCCACACAGTCCCATCACCCCACCGTCCTCCCGTTTCTCACCGTGGCCGCCGGGCTGACATCGGGCACCCGGAACTGTCTCCGCATCGCCCGTCTCGTTCCGCCGGTGTTTAGTACTAGCACATTACCCTGACCGTGACTGCGGGCTAGTCGAATGGCATCGGCTACCTGTTGTGTGTATACGTCCTGTGAAAAGGGAAGGGAGAGGTTAAATGAATCATGAATGTTGATTGAGATGGCCTGATAGGGAAGAGTGCGTTCGACCTGTTTGTGAAACTATAAGTGGTACAATTGGTATCTTCTGATGCTGTTATGCTCATTGCGCATATTGTTGGTTTGTTGGCATTTGTATCGTAGCGGGATGATTCGGAAACTGATTATGATTCACGGAGCTATTTATACGGCAGTCGCATCTGACATCTCACCGTAACAGTACAACGTGTGGTTCCAAGCGATTTTTATGACCTAATGTATTCCGTATCTCCGAGCCATGAATCCTGATGATAGCCTCAAAACATCAGCCCCCACGTTCCCTATCAAATAGCGCTGTCCCGCAGCACGATATAGGTCACATCACTCGCTGCGGTCACCGGGTTGACATCGGCCGTCACCGCCGGCCGCAGTAAGCCCCTGTTCACCTACATCACTGCAAACCGGACGGAACTGAGAACCTGTCTGACTTGTGGCTATGACAAGCCGCCAGACAACGGCACGTTAGGAAAAATTGGAGGGCGGCACGGAACCGCTGCATCTTTTACATTGTTGATGTGGTAAAAAGTGATTGATGACGCATGCGCTTTTAGCATATTTTGGCTATGACAAGTTTGGGTAGTTGGCTTTGCATTCTTTGGACGTTTGGCGTAAATTGCAAAGATCCAGCATATTTGCGCCTTTTCTTTCCGTAATGAGCCCCAGGGAGACCCATTCGAGCTGTCACGTGATACGGCCAGAACGGTGTCCGGCACTGACACTGTACTCGTATAAATAAAAGCGCTGTCATAAATATAATCGTTCTAACCCAGAGAAGCTACAGAGGTTCACTTAAGACTTCTTATACCCTCTAACATGCCACCAAGTGTCTCACCGAATCCCCTGTACCCGTCTGTCCGCCTCACTGACCTGTTTATCGGTGACCGGGTGCTGGTACTGGATGACAGTCAGTTCAAACTGACCGCCCTGGCCGCGTGTCGCAGCAGGCAGCAGAGCCGCCAGCGCCGTCCACCACAGCAGCCGATACATGGCTGGGACGCGTCCGACCCGGCCAGGCCGCGCCGCCTCGGCTGCTCTGAGAGCCCCTCTGGACAGGAGAGAGAGGAGCTGGGGCTGGGGCTGTGGTGATGGTGCTGGGCGGCAGACTCGCACCACGCAGCTCGAGGGTTGCTGAGCTGCTCCTCTTCCTCTGTGGAGAAAAGATCGGGGAGGTGAGTACCGTGATTCGAGAACGGTATTTTACATTCATAACGCGGTAAAAGTGGTCGGTAATACATGAGGACACTTTGATAATACGCGGTATTGTTTGCTGGCTACTAGACATTACTTGAGAAGAACCTACGGCTTACATCGACTAGTCTAAATGGTACACCATCTCATTCTAATTTCAACAGTATGATGCATGAGAATGAATTACTACGGACCTCACAGGTAAATTAACATATACCCAAGGCACATCACAGTGTGCAGACAAGGCTCACATCAGATGGAGCACTCGACGTGCATAGTGACCTTGAGAGCGGATAATACCTCCTAACACGGTGCTGTAATGCCATGCGATAGTCGCGACCCTGCACGTCACTCGCTATAGTATGCAGGACGGTGTGAATTGACCGCGACATTCTGGTGACGTTTGGTCTCTGATGTGAAACCAAGAGCAGAGGCGGATTTAAGAGATCCAGAACGGTTGCGACTTGCGATACTCCTTGCGAATAGCGGGGAAAATCATCGGGTGTTGGGTTTCCGATTGTTTAGGACGACGGTGGGCATTGCAGCTATTATTTGCACCTGCATGTACATCCGCCACTCTTTAATTGGATGGCTTAATGCTTCAGTAAAACGTTTATGATCCGAACGATGAACTCTCGGTGTGCTAGGGCGTGGCTTGAAGGCCATTAAGACCTTTGTATGATCAACTGAACTTTTAGGCAGACGAACATTTAACACCGTATAGATGATAAGCCATTAGATGACCAACACTGCCTACTCTATGTATACTAATACTGAGCCAGCCACTGACCAAAGCTGGGGCAGGCACCACATATCCCTCCCCACATGTGTCTCCCCACCTATGCCTCCCTATGTCTCACCTTCGAGTATCTCCAGCCAGCGGAGCGCCGACGCTCCAAGATGCACCGCCAGTGACAGACTGACCCCCGCTCTCAGGAGGTGCACCTGGTGCATTCTGCCAGAGCAGTTTCCGGCCGACTCCGGGTCGGGCGGCGTCTCCGGAGCACAGAGCTGGGGGCAGTGACCCAGCCCGGATGGACCGGCTGGACGGGCGGCGGCGCGCGCGCTCGGCTGGTTCCGGCCGGTTCCGGGGCTCACTGACGGGTCACTGGGACAGGCCGGTGTGGGACGAGCCGCCACCGCCGCCGCCGCTGCTGCTGCCGCTGCTGGGGCTGAAACTGGTCCCGGCAGACCCGGCAGCGGTCGGGCAGCACAACTGAGCTCCGCGCTGACGCGTGCCGGGACCGTGTAGCCTTGGTCAGCGTCTGGTGTGCGTACTGATCCGGCGCGGCGGCTCCCAGCGCCTGTTTGGCGGTGGCGGTGGCGTAACCCGCTGGTCTAAGAAGGTGCGATAGCTGATAGGAAAGATGACGTCAACGGGGTGCACTGGCGTCTGAGGGTCACTGGAAGGTCAGGGTCGGCGCACGTGACGAGTAAAATGCGCGTGCGGCAGACACACGTGAACGGCAAAGGTGACTCCGGCTCAGATTAACAATATGATAACAGCCGCTACACAGCGAAGGAACACAGTGAAGAATACGACTAGGAAGTACCTACAGACTGGTCATCCAAACCTTGGAATAAGTTAAAAGTAACGTGAGCAGGCTATCAACTTATTGACGAGACCAAAATTGAGACTTCACTGTATAATTTAGTGCCTACCGTGACTGTAAAGGTTAGAAACAAGCGAAAGGGTATCAAACGGAGGCTCGGCATCGACTCTCCACTGAGATGAGACTAACGGGTCACGACTAGAGGTGGCAAAATGTGGACCCGAGGACCCGGTCCAAAGAACCCGTCTGGACCCATATGGGTCCAGACCGGTTCCTCGAAATTTTCTGACGGGTCCAACCGGGTCCTACCATAAACTATACATCTTGCACACTACACATTATTGCAAAATATGAAGTGAATGAAGTGAATGAAGCGAATGTTTCCTTGCACACAGTAGCTCATGAGTATTCCCAGTGGAAAATAGGCTGTTTTACATGATGCAACTAATGATACCTACAAGTAGTTTGTATTAATTGACTTTTGGGGAACGGGTCCAACTGGTTCCGATTCCAACTAATACCGGGTCCGACTGGTTCCAGAAATGTCCAGCCGGGTCTGGTTCGTGTCTGGTTCCAAAAAATTTCACCTTTTGCCACCTCTAGTCACGACTCACTTGCTGCTTTATGTTATAGAAAAGTCATAAATGAAATAGGTAGAAGGCTCATATTACCAAAGCATGTATAGCCCGCGCCCTGCTGGGGGTCCTGGATTTCCACGCCCTGCTGGGGGGGGGTGTTTGAACACCCCCCCTTCTAACTCGGCTCCTGGGCCACGTAGCGATACGCGGAAGGCGGCGTTCGAAAGAGCGTAAAAAATAATGACGAAATCACTTCGGTCAATTTTTTGGTCAGGTCAAAGGTCAGGTCACCAGAAGTCATTGAAGGCAAAATTTCGCCGATTTCCAGGTCGAATGTCGAAAATTTCCAAGAAGCCAACGCATAACTCGGGAACCAATAGAGCTACAGCGCCGCGGAAAAGTGCATTCGATAGCCCTATTAACGCCCTTTCTGAGTAATTCTCTCAGATTTGACCTAACGTCAACGGTTTTGCCTGCAGGGGGCAAAAACTGCAAAAATAGCCGATTTTTTCGGAAACAGTTTTTCTGCAATAACTTTTGACCCAAGCCTTGTACGAGCTTACTTTCACCGGCATCGTGTTCCTCTCGTCAAGACGCATCGAATGAACTATAATTTGACCTTGAAAGGTCAACTTGAAAATTTGACCTCAGGTCAAGGTCATGACCTGACCGGAAAGGGTCATGTTGCATATCAGTCGATCCGTATCGTCGAGCTGAACACATATAAGGCATTTTCATCGCTCTAGCGTGCCTCTATCAAAAGTTATTTGCGAAAAACTGTTAGATACCATTCGTGACCTAAGATGACCTCAGGGCATAAACAAGGGTCACGGACACCATTTTCATGTTCAGTGTGTCTAAACCACTTGTAATTCGGTGTTTGGGAGTATTTATAATGTCTTTCGTCCAAAAGAGACGCATTTCATTTTTCTCCCATTGACTTATAATGGGGAGGTCGCAAAATTGACCTGACCTTAGGTCATCGATATCAAAATTGTAAGATATACATTTTGTACATGCTATTGCTCTCAGCAATCGCTGAAAGTTTCAAAGCGATCGGTCACTCGGTGTAGCTATGACAGACATTGAAACTTTTTATGAGGTGAGGTCACTTCAAGTGACCTGGTGACCTGATCTTGAATGACCTTGGTCTGAAATTTTCACAACATGTGTAGAATTGATGTATGATAAGGTGTACCAAAAACGGCGGCGCTCCGCGCCGCCGTTTTTGAGATATTCGCGAAAAACCACAAGGGGGTGTTCAAACACCCCCCCCAGCAGGGCGCGGGATAGGAGATCGATCACTAATCGCGAGTGACGTAACGAAGTATGCAGCATCATCTGCATCAAATCCCTTCATAACAGTGTTGTTTTACACGAATGGCAATGGTTTGTTGAATGGAACACGCAAAATATGTGTCAGCGTATGTCCAGAAACACGTCACCACCCGTCCATACACCTTCCCCGTTAATGAATGGCAAATAGGTCGTTCTCTTACTGGGCCGCTGGTTTTCCCATGTTCAGCGGGAGATAAGAAGCTCAGAGTCATAATCTCCGGCCTAAGCCTCTTGTGGCCGTAATTCTAAGTGGAGCAAGAAAAGGCGCATTTAGCCACTCCAAGCAACTGACGCGATTATTTTTTTCAGTAAATCCAGCACAGATGAGAACGATCATGGACTGATTTATGTAACGTTCTCGTCTTTACGGTTCAGGTTTGCCGGGCCGTTGCGGGAGGAAGGACTTGATACTTGATTCCTTGCCCTCTTGTCGAGGTGCAACTGAGCGGCTTTGTGGGGATCTGAGGGTGGGGCCCATGGCAACTACGAGGTCAACGCTCTGCATTTCCCCTAGGCTGGTTATCAGGGTAGAATAGGGCAAACACTGGGAGTGTCAGCATAGCTTTTGTCCGTCCAACTGGCAGAGTACGGGCTCTACACTGCCGGTCGCCGCACTGCCCAACTCCATCGGCCGGGAGAGCGCCAGCCTGACCCCATGGCGATACCGAGTGAAGTTGTGCCCTAGTCGTTGTCCCCGTTATCCGGGAGCAGAGGATGACCCCGCAACCAATTCCCCGTCCTCCTATGACGTGTGTGAACGGAAGATGAACCCCGCCAACACTCGGGGCATCCCAACCAATCGACACCGTTCACCTCCTCACCACAAAACGGCACCCCACCGCAAGCCCTACCGCACACCATGTTATTCAGCCAGTTCCTGGAAAAAGTTTCACTTGTCATGACGTTCGCCCGTATCAGTCGGGGCAGAGGACGCTCCGTTTCGCTGGAGCGCGGTCATCGCCTTCCCACGGCATTCCTAGGTCGGAAACCGGCTGCCCCCCCCCCCCGTCTGACCGCCCATGGCATCCGCCCGGGCCGGCGCGGTGCTCCGCTCACCCAGTTTCGCGGTCCGGGCGGTGACGGCTCCGTCTGGGATGGAAGGCTCGGCGCTCGGCAGATGTGATGACTGACAGGATGGTGGTAGACCGGTGGGTAGTCGGACATCGGCCTCTGGGGAACCGTGAGATGGATGGTGAGTCATGGGACAGATGAGAGTAGGGCACACGGAACTGGAAGACATGATTCAGTCATTGAAAATGCACATGTTTCGATGCATGGCATTTGGAGTCGGTTTTGGATTGGATTACAGCTTCAGTGAACGAATACTAGATTCCGGATAATCTCATTCATTGAATGGAAATAACCTATAGAAATTGCGACAGGCACAATTAGTCCAATGCAGTCACTGGTGAGACAACATTAGAAGTAGAACGTTTCCACAGAGTATTGACAGGTCTATCTATCCCGCGAAAACCAGACGTTTTATTTCCAAACTATTTATTCATGCAAGCGTCCCGCAGAAATACATGGTTTGGTCTCAGTTTGATCAATATCAGCCAGCCCATGAGTGAACGATGTACATAGAACACATCCGTCCCGTTTATCTATCGATAAACAAAACACCACAAAGCGATCGGCTACTACAACTCGAAACAGCTCACTCGCTTTCATCCGACACCCATCGAAACTACATCAATCAGTAGCAGTTTCGACCACAATCGCGAAACCGGTCTTTCACAGCTCCTCGTTCCCAAACATCCAATCGGTGCGCGTTACGAAACACATAAAACATGCACGAATAACCAGATATTCGAACACATAAAACGAACACCAAACAGCACCACACGGAGCAACCGCTCTGTTGGCCACATAAACCTATCACATATGCCCGGTGGAAACAATATCATACTATACGTGAGACTAATCCTCGTGACGTGGCAAGGAAAACTACTGAGAACTGACCGTAACTTATCGCTAGCGTTAGTTCTCCGTCGCTACAGATCTGAATGCTAGCCAACCTAGTTTGTGATCATCCAAAATACGCTAACGGCGATACGCCAGTTTATCGGAGCTTTGCTATATCGTTCCCCAAGTCGGGGGATATATGGGGGGAGGGGTGCACAGCAAGCGCAACGCGACAGGTACTGAATGCTTTATCACCGGGGTGTACTGAGAGTAGACAGCAGTATGTACCATAAGCGGTGAACATGCTACGATAGCTACCTGCTTGATACATAGTTGTACGATAGTTACCACCAAAGCGTTGGGGGCACCACAAACGCTGTAGCGGCACCATGGTGGTACACTCGGGGGCAGAATGATGTTCCACCACTCCCTACCCATCTTGCGATCCCATGGCTCAGCACTGGCTGCTGTCAGTGTTGCCTGCCCTCAGCACTGCTCAGCACTGCATGCCAGTGCCAGTGCTGCCAGTGCTGCCACTGGCAGCAGCCAGTGCTGAGCCATGGGAGCTCGATGGGTAGGGAGTCGTGGAACATCAATCTGCCCCCGAGTGTACCTTGCAGTTACCGATACACTAGCGGTACAGTTGTAATCCACAACGATAAAATAGTACCACAGCGGTGCAGTTTTTCCCAGCAAGGCGGTAGTACCAGAAAAGGTACATAGTTACACTGATACGTGCGTGTTCCAACGGTAAAGCGACGCGATCTACGCGTGAATAGCGGCACAACCGCTCGGGTTTGTGAACACACCTGCAAGGGGCTGGCGAGATAACATCCCTGGGATGGAAGGCTGTCACATCAGACTTCGTAACAGCTTAGAGGCGAAAAACAGGAACGGGTGATCTATAAGAAAAATGAGAATACGAAATGCGTGGATGGGATTGAATAAATATATCTTTGGATAACTAACTGGCAGCGTGAAAAGAGAACTGGCAGAAGTGGTGGAAATAATACCCTGTTCAAATACCCTACCGGGACGAACCTTGATGGTAAGAATTCGCATTAATTAAACAAGTGGAGTGGTGCAGTGTAAGCAATATACAAATGGCCCAGGCATGTTTTGATTGAGTCTGAATGCACAGCCGGAAGACGAGAACTTGAAGCAAGCCAGACAACTTCGCCGATAATAAGTAAAGAAATTCCGCAAAAGCAGAATCGAAAGCACCAATAGCTTCGATGAATATCTGTGAGCCCCAGGTACTGTGCAGCTTTTAAACGTTAGCCTATTTACCTAAATCCTGACAACCGGCCCGGGGGAGCAGCGATGAACCAAATACGACATCGGCAAAAGTATGCGATCTGCGAGCTGAATTTACATCTGAATTCATGACAGGCTGACGACTGGGATCGTCTCGACCGCCGCACCCGCCCCCGCCTCGGGCCGGGACGGGACGGACTCTTACGTACTTCACAGTGAGGTATGTGTAACGCGCCGCGTTAAAGCCCTTCCGTGACTCCGCAGCCGCCACTGGCACCGCTCCGTCCCGTCACGACGGAGTCCAGAGTTCTACCACCCACCGTAGCAGCGCGCTTGTCGACGGAGTTCGCCAGCGACATCTGCTGACAACTTCTGCACCGAAACTAGCGCCAGCTACGGATGGCCGTCGCATTGCCAAGCCAGCGGCCGAATTAGTCCTTTCGTTGTGATCGCACGTCATATCACTTCACAATGCGTTCCGCGTGACGGCCGCCCCGCAGTCACAATACATTACGTTACGCATCGCAACCGTCACGTCACGTCACGTCGCATTATCCTCAGAGTCCCAGAGCGTCGGCGTGCGCCCGTGTCATAGCGTGTTTCCGTTCTGGTGAATCGGCACCCCGGCCACCACAACGGCCGGCGGTGGGGACTGTCTCTGCGCCGCTCCGTCCTCCGTCTCATGACGCTCCTCGCCCTCCGCCGGCTGCTGGATGTTACACGTGGGTGTCTCCCCGCGACTGCGGTTACCGGCCCACTCTTCTAATCTCGCTCCGTACTTTTGGGCGAGAGTAGCATCACGGCACACCTGTCCAGTGACACAGATGCCCGAGGGTTCCTCTCGGCCGCGGCTCGGGTGCAGCCGACAGTAGTAGGCTAGCATACACGATACGGCGAGAGCAAACAGTATCACCTGAGCCGCCAGACCGGGGTGGTACCACCAGAGTGTGCGGTTGGCATTCAGATACCACAGGGTAATCATAGCCGTGTTCTCGGCAAAACAGAGCAGGTAGTAGAGCGTATACTTGAGCCGCGTCGTCTGGTCCTTGACGTTGAAGAAGGTGAAGATGTAGACGGCGCCCAGGACGAGAACAAACAGCATCTCCTCGCACTTAGTGTAGCACGCCTGGGTCTTTTGGCAGATGAGCCAGATGGTCATCAGCACCCAGTGAACGACCAGTCCGATGGCCACGTACACGGGAAACAGCGAGGCGCACAGACTGATGGCCAAAACTCGTGAGCCTGGAACGAAGGCAGGGAGGTGTCAAACAGGGGCGTGAGTGGAGGTGGGGTAGCATAGAATCGCTGACAAGGTTATGTACTGTGTATGCTGAATTTTTATGAACCACTGATACTTTGCCGTGGATATATTATGCATAATCGCCGGCACTATATTTTGCATAACACCACGATACTTATAACAAGAAGTAGGACAACAGATTTAACTACATGCATAGCGATTCCAGATCCTGTAATTCCATGTATTTCCACATACAAGCAAAGATACGAGCAACTGCGGAGTGCATCTGTTATAGCAAAATGTAAGCGCCGGCTGACAAAGAATCTAGCTCATCTGCCTATCAAGGCGACCTCTATATCCTTTACTAGTCACTCGGCGGCGGGGTACCCATTCATAAAGAGCAGCCCTATTCGCAATAACTCGGGGGACTCCCACACTGAGCCCTGCCGGGGACAGGGGGGGGGGGGGGCAGGACGCGCCTTCCAAACTGAGCGACAACAGGGCTGTGCAGGGGGAGGGCGGCCGGTTCCGCTCACCGATGCTGCAGAGGTGCCAGAAGAAGAGCACCACGGTGGCCGGCGTGGAGAGGTTGTTCTTGGCCGGAAGGCTGTAGCGCAGCGAGCGCTGGTAGCTGCACAGAGACCAGGCCAGGGAGAACAGGCTGGTACCCACCGCCGCTACCTGTAGGGTGACTGGGGAGACGGGGTAATTAGTGAGGATTAACGAGGGTTCACGGGGTAATTACGGGGGATATACGGGCAACCAGGGTACAAAGGTGTAACGAAGGGACACAGAAGAAACAAAAGGACACAGGGTAATGAGTAAACGGGTAACGAGGGGCAGAGTAACGAGGAGGGGCAGGGTAACGAAAGGGCGGGGTAACGAGAGGATACGATGATGAAGTTTGTCGATACAAAGCTGAAAGCGTTTAGTGGCCTCCTGTCAATCATCCTTCGGCCTTCCTCAATGTCCATTGTCTGTATTACCTGTCTTATCAAGTGTCGATAGATAAGAAACAATACCTCTCCAAGAGCTTGAGCAAACAATTGACACTTGAGATACAGATTGGTTTGAATGACAGCGATAAGAACGAACAAACAAGTCAGAGCCTAGGTAGTAAGCTCGTCTTTGAATGGCTCGAATGGATAGTTTATCGTAAAGGAACAATAATTTTCCCATCCACCAGTTTTTGAAGACAGGCTAAGCATCAACCTATTTCAATAAAAAAACTTGCCAGAATTTAAATACAACCCTTCAGTATCAGTCAAGGCACACCATCGCAACTTACGCATCAACCGCACACATCTGTTCCGTCTTTCTATGAGCATGCGCCTACATTGAGACAAACATGCGACATAGAGTATGCCGGACTATATCGGACAAACAGCGGGCCAGACGCAAAATGCACATCAAATACAATAATCCGGACTAAACCGTACCGTACCTCAAGGACGCATCACATGACTTCATTCGGCATTCGAGAAACTCCATCCCGGCAACGGTGTTCCCGCAGAGTTCAGTGCGTGCGTTCTGTCATCTGTCCCATGAGCCTTCGCAGCTGCCGAAGTTCTATCACGGTTTCTATGAACTCACAACCTAATGTGCCGCTAACAACCAGCTCTCCTTCATGCACCATGCAGCCCGTGTCCATCCCAACGCCAACCAACTCAATAAACACCTATTCCGAACTGAAGAAAAAGTTGTGTGTCCCAATCAACCGAACCACATCGCGGACCCAATGTCCTTTTGGAGTTACCGCCACGGCTCTAAAACACCGATAAAAACAGTCTAGTCACTAGTACGCAGGTACCGCGAGCGTGGAATGAAGAAGTGAATCCCGAGACGTGCCAAGAAGGAGTCTTCTCGGGCACATCGGCTGCAATGGGGAGCTCAAGGTGCCCTGTAACCGCGAGATTAGTAAGATGGGGGGGGGGGGGAGGATTAAGATACCGTCTATCTACCTACAGGGCATATTCAACACCCATTAGATACTGGACCACCAGCCCGGGTGATAAGATACAGAAGACACGTATGTACCAACCGTCTTAGCAGGTAGGTAATTCAGGAAAAGCATGCGCTCGTAACCAGTACTAAGCAATAGTTGTTCTGGCGATAGAAACCACTGCAGGGTTAGCAGGGTACACAAAAGCCAGCCCCAGGGCAGCCTAGGATACCTCAGACATTCACGATAAGAATACGACAGTGCCCAAAAAGGAATCACACCAGCCGGCTGGGACACCTGACAGATACGATCAGAATACGACGGCGGTCACCATCAAACCAAATACCAGTCTACATATACACACTTCAATATCAGACATGACACACAAATACCGGACGAACTTCCAGCTATCCATCGCTCCATTCCCCTCACTCACTGTTCAGCGGCTCCGACGGCTTGAAGCGATTGTGCTCACTGGCCAAAATGTACAGCTGAAGTACCAACTGCGGGGCCGATTCCATGAATGACTCGAACAGTCGCAACAGTGTGGCGTCCGCGTCCTTGTAGATCATGTAGATGTAGTTTTTGATGTGGCCCGCACGGTCGCCCGCCCGCTTGGCGCGCATGCTCTTGATGCCGTAGACCATGGCCTCGATATACCTGAAAAGGGAGCGGGGTAGGGAGCAAGGTCAAATAAGGTTGAAAAAAATTGGAGATAAGATATTGAGGAGCGCTGCTGGTTACACTCACTGAATTGATGCATAGCGAAATACACTTTTAGGAGATACCTACATATCTTACAGCTTACAGGGCAAGCCAAACTTCAAAGAGCCTAGTGAAACGAAAATATGGCCTGTCATTTCTAAAACATCATTAACAAACGACAGCTTGTGTTGAAAGTAGCTGAAATGACACGAACTGAAAAATAAAGCCACCTGAACAGGGTTGGCAGAGGGTGGCAAAAACTGGTTTTTGCCAGTGGTTTTAACCGGTTTAAACCGGCTGGCAGAAACCATGGTGGCAGAAACTGGCAGAAACTGGCAAAAACTCAAGTGGCCAAAACTGCGTTGCTTGCCTAAAAAGCCATCGGTTGAAATGTACAAAGTCATGTCTGTCATTGGGACCCAGTAAGCATTGTCTCGCTAGTTTACCGCTGCTTAAAATGTCTGTCGGTAGTCAATAGATGTCCACCAGGAAGTGCACTTTCATGCATCGCTGTTGGTGTGCTTCTGCACATGAGCATATGCAGGAGTCGTTTCCGACCAGACCTCGAGAATGGCTGGGTCGATTGCGCTCAAATTGGGACACCGTTAGGGACTGATTAGTAGGGTGTCGTGCATAGTCGGTCGGGGTCCATTTTGCACGTGCGCACGTGCGGGGTGACGCTTCCAGATTGGGAGAACGGCTACGTCGACTAAGCACAAATTTGGCACTGACACTGTTAGGAACCGGTTCGTAGGGTCCGGTGCACAAGTCAGTGGCAGATGCCCTTTCCCACTTCTTCAATACTCGCCGCCCGCCGGCGCACTTTCTCATTTGTCTCACCAAAAAGGCGCCTTATTGGTTAATTATAGAGGACTCACGGAACTATTTAACACTAAAATGGTCAAGATTCCACTTCTGTTTGAAAGCATATTGTATTGACTGAATCCTACTTAAAACGTGTCCTGCTCAAACGCATGTAGAGGCATAGCGTTTTGACTGTTTTAGTTTTTGCCAGTTTTTGCCACTTTATGCCGGTTAAAACCGGTTTAAACCGGCAAATGGCAAAAACTAGTTTTTGCCGGCAAAAATGCCAACCCTGCACCTGAAGAAACGTCTCACGGAGATGTTGCCAACATTAGTGTGCCTCAAAGTCGGCCACGGTCGCAGTGTCATACGTCTTTACCCCTCAAAGTCGACCACGGTCGCAGTGTCAGACGTTACCGCCCGCTGCGTCTCGCACTCTCCCGGTTACCGACCTGAGCAGCGGCCCGAGCTGCAGAGTCAGGCAGATGATGCGCAGGATCCACTTCCACATCGGCACCCGGGGCCGGGTCGGTGACGGCGAGCCGGGACAATCGGTCTGCTCCGCGCCGCCGCCGCCCTGGTCCGCGTCGTTCAGATACCTGGGGGCGGGCGCACGGGAACGGGTAATGAATGAGTTGATGAACTGAAACGTATTTTTTTTTTAGAGAGAACGGACACTGTAAACCCTGGTTACACTTTGTGGGCACAGACTTCAAGCAAGTACCCACATAATTGAAATCAAATGAAATGAACAAACTGGTCACTTAATAGTTGTGAATACTGAATAGCAAGATGCAAAGCGAGAAACGGTCAAAAGGTTTTCCAGCGACGAATTCGTACAATCTTTTTACTACCAAAGAAAATTTCTACCGACTATCGTTCATTCTACCGCCTACTAATATGTGAGGACAAATAGTAACAACATCGACCCTAACTCAGGACCTAAGGAAGCTTAGAAGGCCCCAGCTTCCTGTCATCTCCGCCACTCACCATCGCAGACTGAAGCCGGTCATGGTCAGCGCCGGTACCAGGATAAACACGAGCGTCAGCGCGAACTCGTACATCCTCTCCGTCCTGTAGAAATGCACCGCCACCCACACATCCGTCCCCGTGTCCACCAGGAAACTGACGATGGACAGCAGCACCACTGCCAGGTCCTTGTAGGTGTACTGCATCTTCTCCGGCAGGGCGTCCACCTCGTCTGCCGGCACGACCACGGGCACGACACCACCGTTCGCGGAGTCGGCCAGCACTGCCTGCAGGGGACGCAGCTCTCCATTGCTGTTCCTCCCGCCGCTGCCGGTGGTGCCGTTTGTGCCGGGCGGAGGCGAGGGAGGCAGCATGGCTGGAGTGGCTGAGCGGCTCAGCAGACAGCTGTGGTGGGATCTGGTGACTAGCTGGCTGGCTTCAACTTCTAATGTATTACAGCTTATTTTCTCAGGTATGTAGAGGCTTCATGATGCAGGATGCTCAGATCTGTAGAGAAGAAATGCTTAAATGATTGCTTTGAAAAGAAAAAGAAGCAAGACAAACTCTTTAGTCGCCTTATCTGTAGATGGGCTCTCAATACGCATATCTGATGCTAAGAGCAAGACACTAAATCAGCCCACAGAGAAAGTCAGCCACACACTACTTCCACTGAGAAAATGGGTCACCAAATTGAAATACACCAAAAGCACAGCCTGGCCCTGTTTCAATGGATTTTGTTGAGTAAATTACAGCCTCAGCCCCAGTCCGGCTGGCATAGCGACCAGCTGCCAGAGGCAAGCTGGGCCGGGCGTTGCATTGAAAGGCCTGCAGACTGGGTCGAGTGACATGCGTGCCCCATGACAGGCTTGCTGAGACAAGGGATGGGTGACTTGCACTTGACAAAGGGCTGGCATTTGGGAATGGGATGAGAGATGACCAGGTGGGCTGGAACAACCCTTAAATGTCAGTGCCCTGTGGAAGTGTGTGGGAGTTGGGACAGCACAGCTGACACTGACCTAAATCCTAGTTAAGAAAGCATTTGTTTTCCTCTCCCACAACAAACCCTGAAGATTGTTGTGTGGTGTGTGTGTGTGTGTGTGGGGGGGGGGGGTGCCAACCTGCTTTATGACCAAGCAAAGGCCATCATTTTCAGAATTAGAACCACACGCCACATTATACAATCTTTCCTGCTCATTTGGCCTTTTTTAGCACGCCTTTCAAAATTACGACAATATTGATATCAAATTTGAATTGGTCATCATTTCACATCTGATCAACCTTAACGAAGTTTAAAGGGACCCTCCCACCTTCAAAAAAGTTTATGAATTGGCATGAAAGTGATGTCGCTCGGTTCAGAAAGAGCGAAAACGAATATCTACCAAATTTCACCGAAAAATATTCACCGGTTTTCAAGATATTTGACTTTTACTTTTGTTTACTTTTTTGGGATCTCCGCTGTTTCTAGCGACTTTATTTTAGAAGTGCGGCGTTTGCGGCAGATGCTGCGCGCAAATAGCATATACCACCGCGTGCTACAAAACGTTTTAGTCAAACATTTAAAAATCGTTAGATATCTGCGCTGACGTCACACATTCAGAGGGGTATTCCTCAGCATTAGCCCCTCTGAATCAAAATGCTGCAATTTTGAAATTCAATATTTCCGATTTAAGGCATTTCTCGATGTTGTGAGTGCCGAAACCGGTAATTGTGAGCCAGGGACCCCATTTTGGCTATCTCAACTCAAATCTAATGTTAAGGTGGGAGGGTCCCTTTAACGAGGAACAAAGTAATGTGTAACATTTAACAAAGTACAACGCATCCCCAATTCTTCAGTCAATCAAGCCAAAACTCAACTTGTCAACTTGAATTACCGGGAATACCTACCTACTTCAACCTTCTTTCATTCAATTCAAATTCATTCAATTCCATAACGTCAACAACGCGTATTTTGAATTCACCATAGGGCTCAGCCACTCCTAGCGGAAAATTCTGGGGAATTCTCCCCCTGGCGACAAATGTGGGGAAATGAGCATAAATGTGTAAGTCCCTAGAAACTAATTCGTCCCAAGAAGTCCCCCACTACATTAGTGATGCAAGTTTGACTGGGGTATATTAGAGATGCAAATTACATGAAAAGATGTTATATTTTATGTTAAGATTGAGAAACCGTGCTTATAGTGGAAGGTATGTTAATGATGCAAACATATTAGCGAACTGGGAGTGGTCACTGGTCACCTGCTAATTTTGCGTCATTCCGCTAACGCTAGTTGAGCCAGTTATTGCTTGAAGCGTCATAACTTCGGTATAACTATACATCATTATTTGTTGGCTATTAACTGAGATCTGATTTCTTTATCTTTTAAAGAAGACTTAATATAAGAGAGATGGTAGCATCGTCTTGGTGTCATATCTGATCAAAGCGGCCATCCTCCAATGTCCCAACTTACCCCGCGGCGGGGGGTCAGTTGGGCCAGGGCCTAAGGCAAGTTGGTACACTAGGAAAAACAGTTTATCTAAACACATTTTTATTCATGTTTCACATGAACAATCATCGCTAATCCATGCGGGCATTAACGACAAAACACAAACGTTTGCAGTACTCCTGCGGCAAACAAAAAGGCACACACAACGACACTAGAAGAGAATATTTTCACAGCAAGAAAATCACTTTTGGTACCTGAAACACATTTGTAGCGATTATTAACAGCACTTACCTCAGCACGCGCCGACACCACGTTGACAAACAGACGGCGTTACTGTGCATGTACAAAATAAGTTTGAACGCCAACTGTCGAGAAGTATTGGAAATATCCCTTCCGTCCCAACTTACCCCCCCCCCCCTGGCACCAACTTACCCCGGTCTCCCCCACTTCACCTCTACCACTCAGCGCCCCAGGGGGCGGTTCTGGTCAACACAGGTGGCCAGGCTGTGGGGCGCCGCCGACCGCCTGGCGGAGGCTGCCACGTAGCCGTGCTCCCCGGTGCGCGCGGAGCGGCACGGCCGTCCAGCGGGCCAGCGAGCGCGACCCCGCACGTTGGTGCTGGTGCGACGGGCAGTGCTGGTCGGCTGGACCGGAATCTGGGTGGCGTTCCGCCGGCAGCCCTGCGCACCTCCAAACTGGTGCAGAGCGGACTGGCGGCCAGCAGTGGGCAGCTGGCCCCACCTCTGCTGGAAGGCAGCGGCAGCCCTCTCCCAGGTGTCGTCCTGGACGACTGCCTCGCACATGAAGGCTGCCCACTCCTGGATGAACGCCACGGTTTGGCGCGTCCGGTCATCTGAGCGTCGCTGCTCAGCTCCACTGACAGCCGCCGCCGCAGCGGCGGGGTCCTCGAAGTCCATTGCGTCGTCGTCGTACTCCTCGGGACTCGGCGACGGCTGGGGCTGCGCGACTCCCGGGGCGCTGGCGGGCGTGGGGCCAGGAGGTGACGAGGTGGACGGCTCGGCGACCAGAGGGTCGAACCAGTTGCCTGGCAGCTGCTGGCTGGTCCCCATGGCGATGTCCATCAAGGCCCTCCGCGTCTCCTTTGTCGCCGTCGCCTCCGGCACAGCGCCAGTCTGCTGCCGCACGGCTCGGAGGTGTTTGCAGCCGCCAGTCCGCCGGTTCATCCTGCAGGTGCAGGCGCCGACGTTCAGGTCCACCAGGTAGGTGATGCCGACCGACGTCAGCGACTTCACCTGATAGGTGAACTCCGTCACCTGTGGGAGGGGCAACACATAAAATCCTGTAAAATTCGTATGTACAGTCTGTCTTAAAAGTACCGCGCAAAGTGACGGTGGATCCATCAAGCCTTACTGAAGAAAGGCCTGCTTTACTTTGAAAGTCACCGAACCAATTGACCTGGGGAATGGACGAGAATATCAATTGTTTTGATGACTCAAATTGAGCAGGCCCTTCCTCGGTCAGGCTTGATGGATCCACCGTTGCTTTTTCGCGGACTTTTAAGACAGACTGTACAACATAAACTGACGGACGGTTACTTGTACGAAAATCCGAACCTGTTCATTCGCCCCAGTACTGTCAGCTTGGCCTTTTAAAACAGACCCCCAAAGGGAAAAAAGAAGAAACAAGAAAAGATTAGCGAACATATTAGCGAACTGGGAGCCGAGCCGGCGCACCCCTTAGGGGTGCGCCGATTGCATTGGTCACTTTGCACAGCCATGTGGCAGTACTAGTGGGACCAGCATTGGAAAACGAGCTGTCTTATGTGACCTTAATCAGTTCTCGTGTCATGCAAAATACCTGCGTCACAGTGCCCGTTTCTTGGCTGGTGCCGCCGCGGACCGGCGCAGTGCCGCCCGCTGCCGGCCGTTGGTCACGTCGCACGCCCTCCTGGCGTAGTGCTTGCTGAGCTGGACCGTGACGGAATCAAACAGCTGCAGCAGGTTGAACGCCCGAGTCCTGGAAAAACAGCGCGTGTCAAGCGAATATTTCAACAATTTCTTTGCAGCTATAATTAACGGTAGACTGCCATCGTATGGACACAATAAGGCTTTCAGAAGAGCAACCAAAAGCACAACTAACAATTTCACAACCTACCCGAAATGCGAAAGTTTGTTTTTCTTCCACATGTAGGGTTAACAGAAATGTAAAACCGTGATATTCACAAGTTAATCCGTGTTAATCCATGAAAGTCACAAGTCGTCTTTGACGAAGGGATGTATGGTCCAATTCCGTTTCGGGGGCTTCAGGCTCTGAACTTTGGCAGACACTGGGGAGAATTGCACAGTCCTAGGGATTTTGATGGTGTTTTCGAGAACATTTTACCGGCTCACTCTCAGCCCTCCGACCTATATTGAAAGGAAAAACTACTCCCCTGCTTTGGCTTTTTTCCAATTATTTGTCTTTATTAATTGGAATTTGTCTGTAACTGCAACTTTGACATTTCTTCAACATTTGCCACTTTTGGGCAACCTTACAACTTGAAATATTTTAAAATAGTAATGAATCTATCGCAATACCTCCGGTCACCGAAACAGTTTTACAATCAACTTTAGTTAAAAGACAGGTTTGTCTATGAACGCCAGGTTAACTGTTTTATTTATTGAACCGCAATTAGGTGAACCATATGAATAAAGACTGACCTGTAGAGGACAGAGTCTTTGAGGACTCTGAAGGCGGACTCCACGATGTTGTTCGTGTTGTGTCCCCGGGTGGGGACATCCGTGCGGAGACACAGCGCCCACTCTTGACGGCGGGCAGCGAAACCCTGCAGGTACTGGTCCAGCAGTGGGTAGCGCTCGCCCCACTCGGTAGCCACCAGCTCCATCGTCGTCGCTATCTCCGCCTCATTGTTGGCGTACACGAGCTGTTTGGCTAGTGCCATGATAGCCTGCCTGTGCTGGAAGAAAATGCACAATTTAACTTGTATCCGAGTGTGGGAGGCGGGAGGGGTGCAGGGTGAAGGGTGAAGGTAAATGTAAATATACGGGGTGTTTGAGATGAAATTAATCAAACTCATTTACGTTCTTTTACAGCTTTTAGACCAGTATCACTGCATGTCTATTCCTGACTGCCAGCCTATGCCTGTCTATGCCTGACTGCCTGCCTATGCCTGCCTCTGCCTAGCTGTCTGCCTGCCTCTCTCTCTCTCTCTCTCTCTCTCTCTCTCTCTCTCTCTCTCTCTCTCTCTCTCTCTCTCTCTCTCTCTCTCTCTCTCTCTCTCCCTCCCTCTCTCTATGTCTCTATCTCTTTCTCTGCCTCCCTCTCTCCCTCTCTCTCTCTCTCTCTCGCTCTCTCTCTGTGTTTCTCAAAAAGGGGTAATTAGACAAAAATGAACGGAAATTCATTCCCAGTAGAAACTACTCACTTGCTTGTCGATGCCATGTTTGCCGTTGTGAAGCCATCGCCAGACGGCCTGCAGGACGTGAAACGTGCACAGCAGGAGCCGCGCCTCAGGCCACACCGCCGACAGCGCGTTCCGCTCGGCCTGACAGTCGTCCGTCATGAAGCACAGAGGGCCGCGCCTTCCACGCCCGCCAAAGGCGCCTGTCAAAGAAGCATTCTCGGTCAAACACGATATTGGATTTTATACACCAATGCACAACTGACTGGACAATTCAGAGTTTAGCCGCCAGATATGGGAATTCATGGCAAATGTAGGTATATCGTACCGTCTGGTAAAATCCCGACGAGCAGCCGGAAGGCTTTGTCCACCACGGCCTCGGTCTCCGAGGTGGAGACGATGACACCGAGAGGCAGACCACCGGCCGGGCTCCAGCACATCAGCAGGAAGACGCGCTGGCCGTGCCGGTCCATCCCTCCTGAGGCGTCGACGAAGACCACCTCTCCCGCGTCGGGGAGCGTGTGGACGCGCTCCATCAGCGGCGTCACCGCCGCGATCACCGTCTCGCCGTCCTCGACTGAGACCGCCGTGCGGACGTCCTTCATGTGGCGGATGAGGTCCATGGTCTCCTCCTGGGTCGAGGCTGGGTAACGCTCCCGACAGTGCTTGTAGTACAGGCTGAAAACACATTGCATTGTCAATTGACTTCCAGCTGCAAGTGGTGGTCAGTTTCATTTTGTGATAAAATACCGATTGCATAACAGTGTACTTATGGTTAAGCTTCAGCTGTCCCACTTGTTCCTGATTCGTCCTAATCAAAATATAGCTTACCCCTCAGCGCATTGAATTACACAAATCCAAGGTGAAAATAATGTTAACCTGCGCTGGGCCGGAAGGGGGGCGTCTAGACGCCATTCCCCTTCAGGTTTTTCACGAATAGCAGGAAAACGGAAATGACCCTGACACATAGGCGTACGTAATATGATTATCGATAGCTTTTACTAAACCAGAATGCATTTATCGCAGCGTAAAATGTTGCGAGTTTTTAGCACAACACAATTCATAGATAACAGTAGAACTGGATGTGACACGAAAACAGGCAGATTGCAATAGGGGACCCAAAAATTGTCAATGGCCAGATCAGTCTCGGATCGAAACCACATATCCCAGACATGCGGC